GTACCAGGTGAGGAAGGGTGTGTGCCAGGTGAGGAAGGGTGTGTACCAGGTGAGGAAGGGTGTGTACCAGGTGAGGAAGGGTGTGTACCAGGTGAGGAAGGGTGTACCAGGTGAGGAAGGGTGTGTGCCAGGTGAGGAAGGGTGTGTACCAGGTGAGGAAGGGTGTGTACCAGGTGAGGAAGGGTGTGTACCAGGTGAGGAAGGGTGTGTGCCAGGTGAGGAAGGGTGTGTGCCAGGTGAGGAAGGGTGTGTACCAGGTGAGGAAGGGTGTGTACCAGGTGAGGAAGGGTGTGTGCCAGGTGAGGAAGGGTGTGTGCCAGGTGAGGAGGGTGTGTGCCAGGTGAGGAAGGGTGTGTACCAGGTGAGGAAGGGTGTGTACCAGGTGAGGAAGGGTGTGTACCAGGTGAGGAAGGGTGTGTACCAGGTGAGGAAGGGTGTGTACCAGGTGAGGAAGGGTGTGTACCAGGTGAGGAAGGGTGTGTACCAGGTGAGGAAGGGTGTGTACCAGGTGAGGAAGGGTGTGTGCCAGGTGAGGAAGGGTGTGTGCCAGGTGAGGAAGGGTGTGTGCCAGGTGAGGAAGGGTGTGTGCCAGGTGAGGAAGGGTGTGTGCCAGGTGAGGAAGGGTGTGTGCCAGGTGAGGAAGGGTGTGTGCCAGGTGAGGAAGGGTGTGTGTTCCAGGTGAGGAAGGGTGTGTACCAGGTGAGGAAGGGTGTGTACCAGGTGAGGAAGGGTGTGTTCCAGGTGAGGAAGGGTGTGTGCCAGGTGAGGAAGGGTGTGTGCCAGGTGAGGAAGGGTGTGTGCCAGGTGAGGAAGGGTGTGTGCCAGGTGAGGAAGGGTGTGTGCCAGGTGAGGAAGGGTGTGTACCAGGTGAGGAAGGGTGTGTACCAGGTGAGGAAGGGTGTGTGCCAGGTGAGGAAGGGTGTGTACCAGGTGAGGAAGGGTGTGTGCCAGGTGAGGAAGGGTGTGTGCCAGGTGAGGAAGGGTGTGTGCCAGGTGAGGAAGGGTGTGTGCCAGGTGAGGAAGGGTGTGTGCCAGGTGAGGAAGGGTGTGTGCCAGGTGAGGAAGGGTGTGTGCCAGGTGAGGAAGGGTGTGTGCCAGGTGAGGAAGGGTGTGTGCCAGGTGAGGAAGGGTGTGTACCAGGTGAGGAAGGGTGTGTGCCAGGTGAGGAAGGGTGTGTGCCAGGTGAGGAAGGGTGTGTACCAGGTGAGGAAGGGTGTGTACCAGGTGAGGAAGGGTGTGTACCAGGTGAGGAAGGGTGTGTACCAGGTGAGGAAGGGTGTGTACCAGGTGAGGAAGGGTGTGTACCAGGTGAGGAAGGGTGTGTACCAGGTGAGGAAGGGTGTGTACCAGGTGAGGAAGGGTGTGTACCAGGTGAGGAAGGGTGTGTACCAGGTGAGGAAGGGTGTGTGCCAGGTGAGGAAGGGTGTGTGCCAGGTGAGGAAGGGTGTGTACCAGGTGAGGAAGGGTGTGTGCCAGGTGAGGAAGGGTGTGTGCCAGGTGAGGAAGGGTGTGTGCCAGGTGAGGAAGGGTGTGTACCAGGTGAGGAAGGGTGTGTGCCAGGTGAGGAAGGGTGTGTGCCAGGTGAGGAAGGGTGTGTGCCAGGTGAGGAAGGGTGTGTGCCAGGTGAGGAAGGGTGTGTGCCAGGTGAGGAAGGGTGTGTGCCAGGTGAGGAAGGGTGTGTGCCAGGTGAGGAAGGGTGTGTGCCAGGTGAGGAAGGGTGTGTACCAGGTGAGGAAGGGTGTGTGCCAGGTGAGGAAGGGTGTGTGCCAGGTGAGGAAGGGTGTGTGCCAGGTGAGGAAGGGTGTGTGCCAGGTGAGGAAGGGTGTGTACCAGGTGAGGAAGGGTGTGTACCAGGTGAGGAAGGGTGTGTACCAGGTGAGGAAGGGTGTGTGCCAGGTGAGGAAGGGTGTGTACCAGGTGAGGAAGGGTGTGTGCCAGGTGAGGAAGGGTGTGTGCCAGGTGAGGAAGGGTGTGTGCCAGGTGAGGAAGGGTGTGTGCCAGGTGAGGAAGGGTGTGTGCCAGGTGAGGAAGGGTGTGTGCCAGGTGAGGAAGGGTGTGTGCCAGGTGAGGAAGGGTGTGTGCCAGGTGAGGAAGGGTGTGTGCCAGGTGAGGAAGGGTGTGTGCCAGGTGAGGAAGGGTGTGTGCCAGGTGAGGAAGGGTGTGTGCCAGGTGAGGAAGGGTGTGTGCCAGGTGAGGAAGGGTGTGTGCCAGGTGAGGAAGGGTGTGTGCCAGGTGAGGAAGGGTGTGTACCAGGTGAGGAAGGGTGTGTACCAGGTGAGGAAGGGTGTGTACCAGGTGAGGAAGGGTGTGTACCAGGTGAGGAAGGGTGTGTACCAGGTGAGGAAGGGTGTGTACCAGGTGAGGAAGGGTGTGTACCAGGTGAGGAAGGGTGTGTACCAGGTGAGGAAGGGTGTGTACCAGGTGAGGAAGGGTGTGTACCAGGTGAGGAAGGGTGTGTACCAGGTGAGGAAGGGTGTGTGCCAGGTGAGGAAGGGTGTGTACCAGGTGAGGAAGGGTGTGTGCCAGGTGAGGAAGGGTGTGTGCCAGGTGAGGAAGGGTGTGTGCCAGGTGAGGAAGGGTGTGTGCCAGGTGAGGAAGGGTGTGTGCCAGGTGAGGAAGGGTGTGTGCCAGGTGAGGAAGGGTGTGTGCCAGGTGAGGAAGGGTGTGTGCCAGGTGAGGAAGGGTGTGTGCCAGGTGAGGAAGGGTGTGTGCCAGGTGAGGAAGGGTGTGTGCCAGGTGAGGAAGGGTGTGTGCCAGGTGAGGAAGGGTGTGTACCAGGTGAGGAAGGGTGTGTGCCAGGTGAGGAAGGGTGTGTGCCAGGTGAGGAAGGGTGTGTGCCAGGTGAGGAAGGGTGTGTGCCAGGTGAGGAAGGGTGTGTGCCAGGTGAGGAAGGGTGTGTACCAGGTGAGGAAGGGTGTGTGCCAGGTGAGGAAGGGTGTGTGCCAGGTGAGGAAGGGTGTGTACCAGGTGAGGAAGGGTGTGTGCCAGGTGAGGAAGGGTGTGTGCCAGGTGAGGAAGGGTGTGTGCCAGGTGAGGAAGGGTGTGTACCAGGTGAGGAAGGGTGTGTACCAGGTGAGGAAGGGTGTGTACCAGGTGAGGAAGGGTGTGTACCAGGTGAGGAAGGGTGTGTGCCAGGTGAGGAAGGGTGTGTACCAGGTGAGGAAGGGTGTGTGCCAGGTGAGGAAGGGTGTGTGCCAGGTGAGGAAGGGTGTGTGCCAGGTGAGGAAGGGTGTGTGCCAGGTGAGGAAGGGTGTGTGCCAGGTGAGGAAGGGTGTGTGCCAGGTGAGGAAGGGTGTGTACCAGGTGAGGAAGGGTGTGTACCAGGTGAGGAAGGGTGTGTACCAGGTGAGGAAGGGTGTGTACCAGGTGAGGAAGGGTGTGTGCCAGGTGAGGAAGGGTGTGTACCAGGTGAGGAAGGGTGTGTGCCAGGTGAGGAAGGGTGTGTACCAGGTGAGGAAGGGTGTGTGCCAGGTGAGGAAGGGTGTGTGCCAGGTGAGGAAGGGTGTGTACCAGGTGAGGAAGGGTGTGTGCCAGGTGAGGAAGGGTGTGTGCCAGGTGAGGAAGGGTGTGTGCCAGGTGAGGAAGGGTGTGTGCCAGGTGAGGAAGGGTGTGTGCCAGGTGAGGAAGGGTGTGTGCCAGGTGAGGAAGGGTGTGTGCCAGGTGAGGAAGGGTGTGTGCCAGGTGAGGAAGGGTGTGTACCAGGTGAGGAAGGGTGTGTGCCAGGTGAGGAAGGGTGTGTGCCAGGTGAGGAAGGGTGTGTGCCAGGTGAGGAAGGGTGTGTGCCAGGTGAGGAAGGGTGTGTGCCAGGTGAGGAAGGGTGTGTACCAGGTGAGGAAGGGTGTGTACCAGGTGAGGAAGGGTGTGTACCAGGTGAGGAAGGGTGTGTACCAGGTGAGGAAGGGTGTGTACCAGGTGAGGAAGGGTGTGTACCAGGTGAGGAAGGGTGTGTACCAGGTGAGGAAGGGTGTGTACCAGGTGAGGAAGGGTGTGTACCAGGTGAGGAAGGGTGTGTACCAGGTGAGGAAGGGTGTGTACCAGGTGAGGAAGGGTGTGTGCCAGGTGAGGAAGGGTGTGTACCAGGTGAGGAAGGGTGTGTGCCAGGTGAGGAAGGGTGTGTGCCAGGTGAGGAAGGGTGTGTGCCAGGTGAGGAAGGGTGTGTGCCAGGTGAGGAAGGGTGTGTGCCAGGTGAGGAAGGGTGTGTGCCAGGTGAGGAAGGGTGTGTGCCAGGTGAGGAAGGGTGTGTGCCAGGTGAGGAAGGGTGTGTGCCAGGTGAGGAAGGGTGTGTGCCAGGTGAGGAAGGGTGTGTGCCAGGTGAGGAAGGGTGTGTGCCAGGTGAGGAAGGGTGTGTGCCAGGTGAGGAAGGGTGTGTGCCAGGTGAGGAAGGGTGTGTGCCAGGTGAGGAAGGGTGTGTGCCAGGTGAGGAAGGGTGTGTACCAGGTGAGGAAGGGTGTGTACCAGGTGAGGAAGGGTGTGTACCAGGTGAGGAAGGGTGTGTACCAGGTGAGGAAGGGTGTGTGCCAGGTGAGGAAGGGTGTGTGCCAGGTGAGGAAGGGTGTGTGCCAGGTGAGGAAGGGTGTGTGCCAGGTGAGGAAGGGTGTGTGCCAGGTGAGGAAGGGTGTGTGCCAGGTGAGGAAGGGTGTGTGCCAGGTGAGGAAGGGTGTGTGCCAGGTGAGGAAGGGTGTGTGCCAGGTGAGGAAAGGTGTGTGCCATTCTCTTGGAGTTGTGTAACACGTGAGAGGGAAAGAGGGGAGGGTGTCGTGTCGTGTGTAAGGTGAAGGGGGGGTAGTGGGGGGTGGGTTTTACTTTTGAGAATCCTCAAAAGTAAAATTCACGTAGTGGGGGGTGGGTTTCATATCGTTCGGAGTTAACCGTAAACACGTTTCGACTCCCACCCACCCAGCCGACCCCCCAACCAAACCCCCGCTACCTCTTCTTCGTGCCCCCTTGCTGGCTGTTCTCAGTTGACCCTAAACACTTCCCCCCCCCTCCTTGGCCCACAGGAGGAGAGCAAGGCGATCATCAGCGAGTCCCTTCCCGCGTGGGTGGCGCAGTTTGCAGCCATCCTCTCCTCGCCGCTCTCACAACACGACCCCCTGGACTGGGGCATCAGGAAGGAGGTGAGGGCAGTGGGGAAGCGGTGAGGGGCATCAGGAAAGAGGTGAGGGCGTTGGGAAACGGAAGGGTTCAGGCATCGGTGTTATGACAGCTTCTCCTGCTTTGATTGGACAGAAGAAAGAGAGGAACGAGCGTTCAACACATACACTGTTGTCAGCAGAAGGACTTATATCTTGAAAGGAGGAGCGTAAGTGAATCTCTTATCAGATTGTGTGTTCGACCTTGCTGTTCATTGCTTTGGAAGCTGGGGTTTGAGTGTTGGGGTTCTGGATTTGGGGTTTGAAGTTTGGATTCTGGATGCGAGGATGCTTGCTTTGCTTTGCTTTGCTTTGCCAGCTTCAATCTTGTGCCTTCTTCTGCGTGCTTTCTCTCTATCCCCTTTATAAGGTGCTTCGCTGCTTGACTCAGCTCATCCAACATTTCCCTGCTCTGCTGGAATCGACAATGCCAGGTACTCATGATTCCAGAGTATATCCCTCTCGACCTCTCTCCTTCTTTCCCTCCCGACCTCTGTCCTTCTTTCCCTCCTTCCCTTTCATCCCTTCCCCATTTTCCGTCCATTTCCTTCTCCATCACTGCCTTCCCTTTGCCCCCATTTCTTCCTCTCCACTCTCTTCTTACTCGTCCACTGCTCACTTGTCTGTCATCTGAACTTGATCTCTTTGCCAGCCTGGCCTTGTCGCCTCCCTCCCCCTCTTCTCCCCACCATTCCGCTGTGTCTCCCCACCTATTCTTCCCGGAAGTGCTGTACCAAAGCAACATGTCGGAAATCCCCCTCTGCGAGCTTTAAGACTCTCCATCCACAAATCCCCCTTCTCCCGCCCGCCTGTCACCACCGCATCTCTTGCTCGCACGCATCCTGGCAGCTCTGTGGCAGGTCGGGCATCCCTCTATACGAGCGACTTCTGGTGGCTGGCTCGAGTTTTGAGTCGACTCAAGCATCCTCTCCTTCGCCCCCCTCTGCCCGCACGCATCCTGGCAGCTCTGTGGCAGAGCTACGTGTCGGGCGGGCATCCCCCCTGTATGTGTTTCGTGACAACTCTCCAAGTACCAAATCACCCCCCATCTCGCCCCCCCTTCCCCTTCTCCCTCTTTTGCCTCGCAGGCATCCTAGCAGCACTTTGGCAGAGCTATGTGTCAGGCATCCCTCTGTACGAGCGACTGCTGGTGGCTGGCTTGCCTCTGCTGCCCCCCGCTGCTGCTGCTGCTGCTGCTGCTGCTGCTGCTGCTGCTGCTGCTGGGGACGCAGGGGCAGCAGGGGAGCTGCCAGCAGTGACAGTGCACAGGCAGGAGCGGGGGCCAGGGGAGCAGCAGAGGGAGGAGGGGATGAGTCAGCGGCAGATGAGCTATCTGCGCTTGCCATTCAGGTGAGGGTCTTGGCTTTTGCGAATCGAGCTATTAGTTTAGAGTGAGGTGGATGCGGCGTACCAAAGAGCCAAAGAATGTTTTCTTTCCCCTCGTCTTACCGTATTCACCTTTCCAACCTCTTGAACGACACTCCTTCCCTCGTTTTGGTTCTTAATGTTGAGATGGCTCAAATCTCTTTCCGTCACCTCTTCACCCTTTTGGGCTCTTGACTACAAGGCACCTGAATACTCTTTCCATCACATCTTCCACTTGTTTGCCTCTCAGGCGTTTGAGTTCCTCCTGACACTCGCAACCAATTCCAGATTCCAAAAGGCGAGTCCTTGCCTAGACGCTTTTCTTTCTTAGCGCTTTTCTTACCTTTCCTGATTTCTGGTGTCCATTCCCTGAATTGGCTTTACTGCTCACTGGTCCTTGGGCTTTCTTACCTTATATACACCACACCACGACCATGACAGGGCCTGCATGGCACAACAGAGGCGCTGGTTTACTTTGCCATAGCCTACATGCAGATCACTGCAGCTCAGGTTGGTGCTGTGTTGTTGTGTGGTGTGATGCGATGCGACTGTGCGGCAGAACTGTGCTTCTACAAGACTTTTGGGTCATAAGCACCTTCTTCTTTTTCACCCTAAGCTTTCCTGATCATATTGCTTTTTCTCCTGCTCTTTTCCTTCCTGCCTCTCTCTCACTGTTCTACTCTCCACTTGCCATGTGCTCAGCTTCACCCCGTAACTCGTGTGTTTCGCTGCTTTGCTTGCTCACCTTTCGCTTAGTTTCCTGTTCTCCACCCCACAGGAGGAGGAATGGCAGCGTGACACTAACGAGTTTGTCTCAGAGGAGGACGACGAGGCCATCAGCTGCCGCACCTCTGGTGAGAGTTGCATTCATTATATTGTCACTCTGCGGTTCCGCTTCACATTGTTGTCCACAATATCCACAATATCCACAAGATCCACAGCGGGTGGGTGCACAGCGAATTCTATCTCCCTGACCCAAATCCTCCCCCCCAACCCCAACCCCCTCACAGCTGCGGCTCTGTTGGAGGAGCTAGTGGCGGAGTTCAAGGAAGAGGCGGTCCCAGGGATATCCACAGTCGTGGGGGGCACATGCTAAAGTACTTGTTTCCCAACCCCCACACACACCACTCTCCCCCTCACAGCTGCAGCACTGTTGGAGGAGCTAGTGGCGGAGTTCAAGGATGAGGCGGTGCAGGGCATATCCACGGCGGTGCAGCGGCGGCTGGGAGACACGGTGGTGAACCCCACAGAGCATGCCCCCGCCTGGTGGAAGGTGAGAGGCGCTCGCTGGTGAAAGGTGCCCGTCTGCCTGGTGTGCAGAGTTTAGTGGGGAGGCAGTGCAGTGCAGGGCATATCCACAGCGGTGCAGCGACGGCTGGGAGACACGGTGGTGAACCCCACAGAGCATGCCCCCGCCTGGTGGAAGGTGAGAGGCGCTTGCTGGTGAAAGGTGCCCGTCTGCCTGGTGTGCAGAGTTTAGTGGGGAGGCAGTGCAGTGCAGGGCATATCCACAGCGGTGCAGCGGCGGCTGGGAGACATGGTGGTGAACCCCACAGAGCATGCCCCCGCCTGGTGGAAGGTGAGAGGTGCCCGCCTGCCTGGCTCGTCCAGTTTTTGGTGCCTTTTGTTTGTAACTGCTGCTCAGTGCGTGTTCTCTTTCATCCATCCATGCATTCTGCAACTGCCTCTCATGCGTTGCTGCCCCCACCCCACCCCTTTCCATTACCACCCACCTCTTTTCGTTTTCTCATGCCTCTTCTCGCCCCCCCATTGCCTCGGCCCCACGTCTCGTCATTGCCTCGACCCCATGCCCCCTCCTGCAGTTGCGCGAGGCTGCCATCTTTGCTGCGGGTACGGTCGCCGACACCTTCCTTCAGTACGAGGTATGCTGGTGGGTGGGTGCTTCATAAGAACAGTCACTGTTGAAAGCAGCGACAAACAAGTTCGCAGTCTGATGCGCCGAGCTGGCGATGCCAAGGGTTCGTGAGGGCAGGGAGGCTAACTAATTTTTTACGCTTAGTTGTCTCACCTTCCTGGCACTGGTTTTTGAGAATTCTCAAAACTATTTATGACGCTTAGGTGTCTCACCTTCCTGGCACTGGTTTTTGAGAATTCTCAAAACTAACTATGACGCTTAGGTGTCTCACCTTCCTGGCACTGCATCCCGCCACCTTCCTGGCACTGCATCCCGCCACCTTCCTGGCACTGCATCCCGCCACCTTCCTAAGCTCTGAATGCATGCGTCTGCATGTATTTGTGCCTGTGTATCTGTGTATGTGTTCCTGGGGATGTGTGTGTGTGTGCCTGGATGAATGCACATGTCCGTGCTTGATTTGCATGCGTGCACATATGCATACACACCTGCTTGCTCGCATGTGCACACCACCACCAATTGCATGGAGCACATCAGATGGAGGGAAAGCCAGTGTTTGACTCAAAGGCCTTCCTTGATGCTCTGCTCCTGCACGATCTGGGCCCAAGTGAGTGACTCCCGTCTGTCTGCCTTTTGGCCGCGCATTAGCTGCCACTGGTGATGCTCATATCTTGGCCGTGTGAAATTGAGCTTGCAGTCAAGTCAACTCATAGAACCTTTTTAATGCACTGCTGTATGACCTGCTTCCAGCCAACTGAGTGAGTCTGCCCTGTAACCAGCGAATTAGCCATGTTACAGCTTCACCCAACAGGGCAGTGCAGTCAGCAACATCCTTTTCCTCTTTTCCTCCTCATGCCCTTGCCTTCCAAACCCTTGTGCCTTGCGACCCTTTCCACTCTCTGCCGGTTCTCCGCACCAGACGGGGCAGTCAACTTCCCCTTCCTCTACTGCCGCTGCCTCTGGGCTGCTGCTAGGTTCGCCTCTGACGTGAGTGCATGGGCTTGTAACGATTATGGCACAAGGCACATGGGATTGATGTGTGTGTGATCGCAGTCGAATGTGGTGTGAGATCTTGTCGGCTGGAGGGCTCAAATTTGAATCAGTGCTGAACGGGGGGTTATGTCCTATCTATGCATGGGACATGGAATGAACGCAGCGTGAAAGGTTAAACTGTTCGCTCTGCTTCTGTTGCATTCCCCTTACAGCCTTGCATTCATAACCCTCTCCCTTGTGCATACTACTTAAAGCCCAAGGAATTCTTGTTTCCCCCCTGTGCGTGTGGCCCATCAGGCACCGACAGAGAAGAAGGTGCAGCTGCTGCGCGTGGCTGCAGAGGCCCTCGGCCAGGACAGGTGCCACGGGAAGGGGAGTTACTAGGAGGATGGAATGGCATGAAGAGCGATGGGATGGGATGGGGGTGGCCACGGGGGAAATCGAATGGCACAAAAATGGTGGGCTAGGATGGTACGGCATGAAGAGGGATGGGATGGATAGTGTCACGCCATTGCTTTTGGGATAACATGGTGTGCCATGGAGAGCATGACTGTGATACGCATAGTAGGACACAACACACCATAGCAATGGCTGGGGACTGGCGCTCAACATGTCATTTCATCCAGTGTCCCCAGCCCGTCAATTGTTCACTTCCATGCCCCATCCCCCATGCATGACCATTGACCACAGGCCGCTGGTGATCCGCATAGGGGCGTGCCGAGCGCTGTCACGCCTGGCCCCCAACATGCAAGCGGAGGACCTCAGGCCCGTGCTGCCTGCTATCTACACCGGCATCAGCCATATGCTGCCCGAGGTGAGCCACATGCTGCCCGAGGTGAGCCACATGCTGCCCGAGGTGAGCCACATGCTGCCCGAGGTGAGCCACATGCTGCCCGAGGTGAGCCACATGCTGCCCGAGGTGAGCCACATGCTGCCCGAGGTGAGCCACATGCTGCCCGAGGTGAGCCACATGCTGCCCGAGGTGAGCCATATGCTGCCCGAGGTGAGCCACATGCTGCCCGAGGTGAGCCACATGCTGCCCGAGGTGAGCCACATGCTGCCCGAGGTGAGCCACATGCTGCCCGAGGTGAGCCACATGCTGCCCGAGGTGAGCCACATGCTGCCCGAGGTGAGCCACATGCTGCCCGAGGTGAGCCACATGCTGCCCGAGGTGAGCCACATGCTGCCCGAGGTGAGCCATATGCTGCCCGAGGTGAGCCATATGCTGCCCGAGGTGAGCCACATGCTGCCCGAGGTGAGCCACATGCTGCCCGAGGTGAGCCACATGCTGCCCGAGGTGAGCCACATGCCGCCCGAGGTGAGCCACATGCTGCCCGAGGTGAGCCACATGCTGCCCGAGGTGAGCCACATGCTGCCCGAGGTGAGCCACATGCCGCCCGAGGTGAGCCACATGCTGCCCGAGGTGAGCCACATGCTGCCCGAGGTGAGCCACATGCTGCCCGAGGTGAGCCACATGCTGCCCGAGGTGAGCCACATGCTGCCTGAGGAGAGCCACATTCTGTCCAGCCATGGATCATACATTCTAATCACTGCTATGAAGTGAAGCATATATGCTGGCCTTGGCTGCTCTGCCTGTATGTTGGCTGCTCTGCCTGTATGTTGGCTGCTCTGCCTGTATGTTGTTCCTTCCATGGCCCTCCCACTCCCCCATCTCTCAAAACCGTCCAGCAATGCCCACTCGCTGCCAGATACCACCTCCCCATGTCGGCCCCATCTTTCCCACTGACTCCGCTGCCTCCCCCACTTGCTGCCTCCAAGCTTGCTCTCTTCCCCCCTCTCACCCCGTCACACCTCCACCCTTCAGACGACACGCTCTTCAGACGACATGCTCCACCTCTGCCTCGAGCTTGTTTTGAGAGGCGCCTAAAAAAAACTCCCCACTAAAAAATTCCCCCTCACCCCGCCCTTCACACCAGGTATCGGACGACACGCTTCATCTTGCTCTTGAGCTTCTCACTGCTGTCATCCGCTCAGGTGTGACCCTTGCCCTGCCATGCCATGTCATGCCCACCACATCATGCCATGCCATGCCATGTCCACCAAACCATGCCACGTCCACCCCACCATGCCATGTCCACCACACCATGCCATATCCACAGCACCATGCCATATCCACAGCACCATGCCATATCCACAGCACCATGCCATGTCCACAGCACCCTGCCATGTCCACAGCACCATGCCATGTCCACAGCACCATGCCATGTCCACAGCACCATGCCATGTCCACAGCACCATGCCATGTCCACAGCACCATGCCATATCCACAGCACCATGCCATGTCCACAGCACCATGCCATGTCCACAGCACCATGCCATGTCCACAGCACCATGCCATGTCCACAGCACCATGCCATGTCCACAGCACCATGCCATGTCCACAGCACCATGCCATGTCCACAGCACCATGCCATGTCCACAGCACCATGCCATGTCCACAGCACCATGCCATGTCCACAGCACCATGCCATGTCCACAGCACCATGCCATGTCCACAGCACCATGCCATGTCCACAGCACCATGCCATATCCACAGCACCATGCCATGTCCACCATGCCATGTCCACTATGCCATGTCCACAGCACCATGCCATGTCCACAGCACCATGCCATGTCCACAGCACCATGCCATGTCCACCATGCCATGTCCACCATGCCATGTCCACCATGCCTGCCTGATCATGCCATACCGTGCCTCACACCTTCATACTCCCTCCCCCCCTTGGCCCCGGCCAATCAGACGTGGAGGTGACAGCACAGATTGAGCTGGTGGTAACATCAGCACTGCTATCCATATGGGCGGAGCACGTGAACGACCCGGTGATCAGCTTTGATACCACTGCCGACCTCAACTTCATCCTGTGTGCCCCTCCATCCCATCCCTCGCGCCACCCTCCACAAACCCCCCTTCCCCCCCCAACCTCATGCATTCATATTCTCTTCCCTCGTCCCCCCCACACTCCTCTCCCCCCTCTGCCCTAACCCCCACCAACGGTTCCGACAAATCAGACGCGGAGGTGACAGCTCAAATGGAACCAGTGGTAACGTCAGCGCTGCTGTCCATATGGGCGGAGCACGTGAACGACCCGGTGATCAGCTCTGATACCACTGACGCCCTCGAGGCCATGGCCGACCTCCCCGCCTGCATCGACTCCATCCTGCGCGCCGCCATCCCTTCCCTCTCCACCATCTTCTCCAAGGTAACTTCTTTCTTAAACAAGAGCTGTTGCATGGATTACTACTCATATGACGGATCCGACAATAATGGAGATGAGGTGACTCCATCCTGCACGCTGCCATCCTCCAATTCTCCACCATCTTCTCCAAGGTACCGCCTCCAAGGTGTACCGCCTTAAATGTGTCTCTTCCACGTTCCCCAAGGTATCGCCACGCCTTTCCAAACAAGAGCTGTCGCATGGACTACTCATACGATGGATCTGACAATAACGAAGACGTTTTCAATCCATCCTGTGCACTGCCACCCCCCCACTCTCCTCCATCTTTTCCACAGTACTACCGTTGTGCCAGGCTACCATTCCGCCGTACCACTCCAACTCTCCATTTGTGCTGCTCTTTGATTCTTATGCAAGCTCCCTGTCTCTGCTCTTTGATTCTTATGCAAGCTCCCTGTCTCTGCTCTTTGATTCTTATGCAAGCTCCCTGTCTCTGCTCTTTGATTCTTATGCAAGCTCCCTGTCTCTGCTCTTTTGTCTGTGTGTGCGAGTGTGCGGGAATTGAGTTTTATGCATGCCTGTTGTGCTTGTATGTGCATGTTCTTGCATGCCTGTTGTGCTTGTATGTGCATGTTCTTGCATGCCTGTTGTGCTTGTATGTGCATGTTCTTGCATGCCTGTTGTGCTTGTATGTGCATGTTCTTGCATGCCTGTTGTGCTTGTATGTGCATGTTCTTGCATGCCTGTTGTGCTTGTATGTGCATGTTCTTGCATGCTTGAACGCATGTGATGCCTGCTTGTGTGTATGCGCTTGTTGGCGTGTGCATGTGTGCATGTGTGTGTGGGGGGGGGGGGGGTGGGAGGGACTGGTGAGCAGCCAGAGGAGCAACCAAATGGGTTGGTGGCAGGAGGCATGGAGCTTCTAACGATGCTGCTTAAGGTAAGACTACCGATGGCCCAACGCAAGGCAGTCAAATATTCTGTGTGAGCTTGAGAGGAATGCTCAACAACCCAACCCACCATCTGATCAGTGGGGAATGCGTTGCCCTTTCTCCTCCTTTGAGACCCTTCCTCCCCACCCCTCCCTACCCCTCCTCTCCTGCACTGTCCTTCTCTCCCCAACCTGCGAGCCACCACCAGCACAACCCCCCACCACTGGTCCGTCCAGTCTTCCAATCTTCCAGTGTCTTCCATGCCCTGTTTTCACCACTGGCAGCCGTGGTGCTGCAGTCGGATGATCACACAGAGCTGCAGAACGGAGCAGAGGCACTGGCCACGTTTGATCCTTGAGTTAGCCACCCGCCTTCTCTCCCTGCTACCCGCCTTCTCTCCCTGCTACCCCGCCTTCTCTCCCTGCCACCACCCCCCCTGTTGCCTGCAGCGCACGCCCCCACCACTGGTCCGCCCAGTGTTTGACGCCCTATTTGCTCCGCTGGCAGCGGTGGTGCTGCAGTCAGACGATCACACAGAGCTGCAGAACGGGGCGGAGGCACTGGCCATGTTTGTGCGCAAGGGCGGGGAGGAGCTGGTGGCGGGCAGCGCTGACCCCGATGGCACCATGAAGACCCTGCTCGATGCTGCCGCCAAGTGAGTGGCTGGAAGGCTTGCTTTGATTTGGTTCAAAAGTCACTTCAAAACAGAGTGTAAGCGTGCAACAGGGCGAGGGGGGAGGAGCTGGTGGCGGGCAGCGCTGACCCGGATGGCACCATGAAGACCCTGCTGGATGCTGCCGCCAAGTGAGTGGGGCAGATGCCCATGTAGCATGCAAAAGAGGGCAGAGGCCGGTTGGTGCAGTCAAGTGGGGGGGGGGGGAACTGCTGGTAATTCATCCTTCACCTGCCCCTGTCATTCTCCTTCACCCTCCCTCCCTCCCTCCCTCCCTCCCTCCCTCCCTCCCTCCCTCCCTCCCTCCCTCCCTCCCTCCCTCCCTCCTCCCTCCCTCCCTCCCTCCCTCCCTCCCTCCCTCCCTCCCTCCCTCCCTCCCTCCCTCCCTCCCTCCCTCCCTCCGCCCCTCCCCCTCGCGTCATACCCATCAAAAGGCTTCTAAGCCCACAGCTGGCCCGTCAGCATCTCTCTTCGTGGGGCCACTGTTGGTGCCAACCGTCTGATCCGCCGTGTGCCATCGCGTATGGCACCGCACCTGCAGGCGCTCGTGGCCGCCATTGTCCACCACATGGATTGCTACTTTTGCATCGGCTCATTCAACCCATCCTTCGCCTTCTCTTCTCCTTCCATTCCTTTCACTCTCCCCCTGTGCCCCCATGGAAAGATTATTGAGCCCACAGTTGGAGCCATCAGCATCCCTGTTTGTGGGCCCGCTGTTGGTGCAGCTGATCCGCCGCGTGCCCTCACGCATGGCACCGCATCTGCAGGCGCTCGTGGCCGCCATTGTCCACCGCATGGCCGCCAAGCGCATGCCCTCGCTCTCCGTCTCGCTTCTACTGGTCTTTGCTCGACTGGTAGGTGGATGTGACTGTACTGCATGCCTGGTAGGTATGGATGCGTTGTTGTGTTGGCTTCTTGTCTTGTTCTTGCCACCAGATTCATTGCTTGATTGCCGATCGGATGCCCTTCTAACTCCTCGACTTCTCCTGCCCCCATCCCAGGTGCACTGGGCATCACCGGACGTGCGCCCGCTGCTGGACCTGCTCTCGTCGTTGCCCCTGCCCGGCCACCCGTCGGCCCTCCACTTCCTGCTCTCCGAATGGGCCATGTACCACAGTCAGTGCCCCTCTCTTCCCCTGTCAATACGTCAATGTTGTCCAGTTTGTGTCCCGTCTCTACCCAACCAGTAATTGCCTCTACCCACCCAGTAACTCCCTGTACCTATCATTGCCTCACTCCACCCATCCAGTTACTGCCCCTTCTTCCAACCATGCCCACTTCTGCACTCCTTCCTTCTCACCCATCCCGCTGCTGCCGTCTTGCTGCCATCACCTGCCTGTGCAACCCACCACCCCACCCCCCTGTCGCCCATCACACCATCCTCAGGGGACATACACGGGGTGTATCACAGCAAGGTGGCGTCAGCAGCGCTGGCGCTGCTGCTGGCCTCACGTGACCCGCGCCTCCTGCAAGTGCCCGTGCAGGGCCGGCTGGTGGCGGTGAGTTGTGTTTTATTTTTTGAGTAGACTCAAAACTCAACTTATCACGCAAGTGCCCGCGCAGGGCCGGCTGGTGGCGGTAAGTTTTGTTTTATGCCTCAGCAACCCTTGTTTGCATTGCAACCCGTCGTTTCTTTTCTTCTCGTGATTTGTAGACGTCTAAGGGTGTTGTGACTCGGTCTCATGTTGAGGTGCATTCAAGCGAGTTCTTCTTTCTCATTTCTTCTCTTCCTCCTCCAGACGTCCAAGGGCGTTGTGACTCGCTCGCGAGCGCGAGTGGTGGCAGACAAGTGGACAGAAATGGCGTTTCCAGCTAAGGTGAGAATGGCCTCATACAGTCATTGGCGAATGGTATGAAAGGTGCAAGACACAATGTTCTTTTCTCAGCACACCCTTTTTTCACCGCGTTTTTCTCCTCCTCACCACAAGTCACCACTTCTCACTCCTTGTCATCACTGTCCATTCCCTCTCTGTCACACCCCTAGGGCCTGTCACTGCTGGCAGGTGTGTTGCTGGCGGCGAAGGAGGAGGGCGAGCAGGCAGATGCGTTGAGAGGGGTAAGCATTGGGGACTGACGGGGGGGGAGCCCCAAACATGTGGCATTCTGCTATACACCACATTGCCTGGTTAAAAGAGGCAAGAGGGCAGAGGTGTTGCGAGGGTTAATTGGGGGTGTGACCAGCAGAGGGGCAGCGAGAATGTTCTTCACACCATGAAGGCATGCTGCCATTGACTCCAAGCCGAAGTCTCTCATCTTCCCAACTAAGGCTGTATGTTCCTCCCTGATATAACATCTTTGGAATTTCTCCTGCCAGCAGGATCGAGACATAGACGAGGAGGACGAGGAGGGAAGTGATAAAGGGGAAGCGTGGCATTCTTGTCATACCTCCCTGAAACATGTGATTGTTCTCTCCTCTATTTTTTTGCACCTCCTGTGTGCCTCCCACCTGATCTCTCTCCTGCCAGAAGGATCGAGACATAGACGAGGAGGACGAGGAGGGAAGTGAGGAGGAGGGGGAGAATGGCAAGGGGAGGGAGGGGCTGGATGCAGGTCTACCGCCGGTGTTTGCTTCAGCTGAGCTCTTCTCGCACTTGCTGGACCAGGAGGTGAGATGGGATGGGTCTAGTTTTGAGGTGCCTCAAAACTAACGGCAAGGGGAGGGAGGGGCTGGATGCAGGCCTGCCGCCGGTGTTTGCTTCAGCCGAGCTCTTCTCGCACTTGCTGGACCAGGAGGTGAGATGGAATGGGTCGAGTTTTGAGGCGCATCAAAACTAACGGCAAAGGGAGAGAGGGGCTGGATGCAGGCCTGCCGCCGGTGTTTGCTTCAGCCGAGCTCTTCTCCCATCTGCTGGACCAGGAGGTGCGTTGGGACAAGCACGGAAGGCCTTCGGGATGGGTGGCGTTGAGGGCGTGTGAGTTGCAGGGTGTTTCTGAGACCTCTAAAAAGCGCCCTGCTTTTGCCGAGCACTTCTTCTTGCACCCCCCACCTGTGTGCCCATGCCCACGTTCATTCCTCTCCCGCTCCGTTTGTCCATGCGTGCGTTGAGGCAGTTTGGTGAGGATGCAGGGGATGATGACGACGATGCTCAAGACGACCCACTCAACCAGGTATGTTCGCTGACCCACGATGCTACTCGTGCCCCTCGCCACTCCCCTTCTCTCCTCTTCCCAGTTCACTCACACCCTTATATATGCACTCACTCGCTCACTCACTCTTTCTTCTCCCGTTTATTCAGCCACTTGCATGTTTTCACAACCACTCCCCCTCCTCTCTATCCCCCCTCCCCAATCCCCATCCGTTCCCCCTACAACTCCCAGATCAACCTGACTGTATTGATTGCCGACGTCTTCAAGCAGCTGGCAACACAAGATCCAAATCTCTTCCAGACACTTTCTCAGGTGAATGTCCAGGACAAGCAGTTTCTCGGGAGCAGTTGTTCCTTAGCCCGGGCCTTTCCCAGGAGGCATCGGCCCAGACCAAAACCTCCCCCAGATGATAATAGATATTGGGATTCGCTGATCCTCGCTTGCGCTCCATCTTGGCTTCTCGTTCGCACGCGTAACTACCCATTTGGTAGTTGGTCCATACCTTCCTTACTCACACGCACCCTTGAATCCCTTCCCTACCCTAATGAATGCACCAACAGGAGCTTACAGCAAGAGAGCGATCAACCATTCAGTCCTCCCTCAATGCCTCGTGATTCGTGAAAAAGACATACCTTAGCACAATGGTCATTGCAACTGTGGATGGCAGATAATTACCAATAGAAACGGCAAGCAGTAAACTCCTTTGATCTCTTGTATGTGCCTGTGTTCATCAGAAGCAGTTGCATGATTCCTTCTGCTTACTGAACTAAAAATATATGTGATTGAAAGAGTAGGTTTATAATGATTTATTGATAAGCCTCGACGTGCTCTCATAGCTCAGTTGGTTAGAGCACCCGTTTAGTAAGCGGGAGGTCTTGAGTTCAACTCTCAATGAGAGCACTTCGGCTGTCGCCCCTTGCCATCATTTTGTAACCAGCCTTTCGTCCTTTTCGCGACGCTGCGCTGGCTCCAGGTTAGCAGCACTCGTGCAGTGCAGCGCAGGCTGACCGACAAGACAATCGAGGCATTTCCATTGATCTGAGGAATCCCTGCACTCATTCTCTTCCTTCCGACACACAGCTGCTTGCCTCCTCCACTTGGCTCCTTTTCCCCTTAGTCTGCGTGTCCTGAATAGCAACCATGGGGACCATGGCTGAAGTCCAAGAGCATCTAAAGGCGCTTAGCCGGGACTATGTATGCGAACCATTCCTAGGTAGGTCTTGATGATAATTTTTCCCTAGTCCTAGTTCGGTTCTCAAGGCATTTCCTGAATAGGCATTTCCTTAATAGGCATTCCCGTTTGAGATACGGGTCGCATCAGGATCAGATTCTTATCTTGGTCCATTAAATCACGCTTCAACTACTACATACGATTTACGACCTGTCTATTCCCGTTCTTTTTCTGGTTACTTCACAGAGTACCGAACCGTGTCTGGTGTCGCTGGTCCCTTGGTCATTTTGGAAAAAGTGAAGGTACGTTTCAGTCTAGTTATCCTTTCCATTTCACGGCGACCTCTGTAGGGGACTCAACTTATCGGCGGATCTTGTTGCCTCGCTGGATCTCGTTGAGCGCAGGGTCCCAAGTTCCAGGAGATCGTCAACCTGAGGCTCGCAGATGGAGAGATTAGAAGAGGTCAAGTTCTTGAGATCGATGGCGACAAAGCCGTTGTTCAGGTGTTGTCCCGGCGCTTCGTTTACCGAACCAGCATTTTCGTAAATAAATACATGGTTGACATTGTTAGACTCGTCACTTCTGCAGGTCTTCGAGGGGACTTCTGGGATTGATAACAAGCATACGACAGTCGAGTTCACTGGCGAGGTGACTTAGCTTATGAAATTTGAGAGGCTGGATACTGATTTAGTGTTTGAGGTACTGATCGTGGTTATGTCAACCTTCGTCGAAACAGGTGTTGAAAACGCCCGTGTCCATCGACATGCTTGGTCGCATTTTCAACGGATCTGGCAAACCCATTGATGACGGGCCTCCCATTCTTGCGGAAGCATATCTCGACATTGCCGGTAAGCGTCATACTTCAATGCGCCTTGATCTGGCCTATTGTCACAGACGACGTTGTTCTTAACCTCTGCATGTGACCTGCAGGCAGTTCCATCAACCCTAGTGAACGAACATATCCCGAAGAAATGATTCAGACGGGTATTTCGACCATCGACGTCATGAACTCGATTGCTCGCGGTCAAAAGATTCCGCTTTTCTCCGCCGCTGGTCTTCCACACAATGAAATTGCCGCACAGATCTGTCGGCAAGCAGGTCTTGTGAAGCCATTGGAGAAAAAGGATGATCTGCTGAAGGTACCGTTAACTCAGTGCACTTTTCGTTCATGACGTCTTGTTTATCAAGTTCTTATACGCTTTTTTACGTCTGGTCCCAGGACGATGAGGAGGATAACTTCGCCATTGTGTTCGCTGCTATGGGTGTGAACATGGAAACTGCTGCGTTCTTCAAGCGAGATTTCGAGGAGAATGGTTCCATGGAGCGTGTGACGCTTTTCCTGAACCTGGTAATTATTGCCCCCTTGGTCCTTGTTGCACAATTTCTGTTTTAAGTATGATAAAATTTCACAATGTTTGTCTTCGCAGGCCAATGACCCTACTATTGAGCGCATTATTACTCCTCGTATTGCGCTTACAACCGCTGAGTACCTTGCCTACGAGTGTGGAAAGCACGTGCTTGTGATCTTGACGGACATGAGTTCATACGCTGATGCCCTTCGTGAGGTGCGCTTTCTAACTCCCTCTTACCTCCACGCTCTGCTACTGCATTCGCAACTGCCGTTTGTTCCGTTTGCCTTTTGCTTCCCTCTTCATGACCAGTCCCATATAGTTTTTTCTCCTCTTACTTGGTAACCTAGTGTCCCTTTCCTCAAAACCATCTTCTGCCAGGTTTCTGCTGCGCGTGAGGAAGTGCCTGGGCGTCGTGGTTACCCAGGTTACATGTACACTGATCTTGCGACCATTTATGAACGTGCTGGGCGTATTGAGGGTCGCAAGGGCTCCATCACCCAGATTCCTATCCTGACCATGCCAAACGACGGTATGTATTGATGATGGTGTATGTCGATGTGCTAATATGGGTTAAGGGAACGAGTACAATTCTGGACATGCGCATGGCTGTCTTAGATAGTGCTTATCAGACAGTAACCAGGGAACGTGCCGATAACTTGCATAATATACTAAATGCACGCAATAGATAGGTGCGTGATGGTTAGCTCACCGTGTGTGAGGATGTGGGCTATTTTTATGCGCCTCTGTTGCAGATATCACTCACCCTATCCCCGATCTTACTGGTTACATTACGGAAGGGCAGATCTACATTGACCGTCAGCTGCACAACAGACAGGTAAGCGATTTGACGAGCTCTGATGCTATTCCGATTTTACATTGTCTTCTCCGTGGTGCATTCTTAATATCCTTCACGCCCGTTTCTTTGTGCGCAGATTTATCCTCCGATCAATGTGTTGCCGTCCCTGTCTCGTCTTATGAAGGTATGCATTCTTTTCATGCATCATCAAGTCCTTGCCCTTTGGTCTGTAAAATACATCCATGTCTTCTTGGTCCTGCCTCATGTTCAATGTGCCTGCTTTTTCAATCCCATCATCCAGAGTGCTATTGGAGAGGGGATGACCCGCAAGGATCATGGTGATGTCTCCAATCAGGTCTGTATCTTCTGTGGCACATCTCAATGACTGCTATCACCGTTTCTCAAGCTTGGACCTTCTAACGGTTTCCTTTTGCTGTTACTGTGTGTTTGGTATACTTCAGCTCTATGCCAACTACGCCATTGGTCGTGATGTGCAAGCCATGAAGGCTGTTGTTGGAGAAGAAGCTTTGTCATCTGAAGATCTGGTATGTGTGGTAGTCATAACTGGTTCTGCATGTGAACAAATGCCCTGCCCCATCTGCATATCTTGTGCATCACCCTGAGGGTATAGTGCTGCTCACTCCTGACGTCGTCCTCTTTTGATCTGTGCATCTGAATTTCAGCTTTACCTGGAGTTCCTGGACAAGTTTGAGCACAGATTCGTCACTCAGGGAGCATATGATGCTCGTGACATCTACCAGTCTTTGGATCTCGCATGGACCCTTCTGCGTATCTTTCCCCGTGAGATGCTTCGTCGTGTGTCACCCAAGATTTTGGATGCCTTCTACAGCCGTGACTCCGACCACTAAGTCATACCTGTCGGAAGTGGTTTGCCCACCCTAGTCCACTAAATTACACTGGAATGTGACTCCATTCAAGGTCGTCGTGGTTGGACGTAGGATAATCGTATAGGAATGCTGTGTATGAAAAGATTGAAGTTGGGACCACATTTGTAGGTGGCTTTTCATTTCACTCTCCGTAACGTGTATAATGTAATATTGTTATGGCAAACGCTTTTGTCAGACGACACTGTAGTGAGGGTTTGTCGCAGTCTGTTTCGCGGGAATCACTGATGTTCCCCACCATCCTGGATTCCTGATCCATTTTTCTTGCAACGGAATAGACCCACTGGACCCTTCGAAGCTGGTCTGCCCTCAGTTAGCCAGGGCGAAGGCATAGCTTGCTGATCGATCGCGGAAAGTGCGGGCTGCATCCTATTTTGATTGCGAATCCGGCTGCTTGTGTTAGCTTGGCATATTCAACGTTCAAGCAAGATGGCGTTGTTGCCACCAGGGATGAAAAAGGATGAAGATTTTGACGGAGAGTGTGAGTGCTGCCGTAGATTTAGTCTCTGTGCGGCGAGGTTCGGAGAGTGGATTTTTGAAATCTTCCACATTTGAAGCTGGGAGAGAGTACCCTTACAATGTTCTGTGTGTCTGGATGCAGTTGAGTACTCTCCGTTTTTCGGGATCGAGAAAGGCTCCGTTCTACAGGAAGCTCGTGTATTCAATGACCCGCAGCTGGATCCCCGAAGATGTGCACAGGTCGGCATGTTGTACCTCAGTTGGCATGCTGCTCCTAATTTTCCCTCATTCCTGCGGCTTTGTTACTTCACCTGTTAGCCCTTTGTTCCTGGTTCTTCGTTCTGTTAGAAATTTGTTCCTCATTCTAGGCCCATTTTTTCAAGCTCCATTGGCATGGATCTGAATCTCTTTCTTACCCTATTGCAGGTTATTACCAAGCTTCTGTATTTGCTCAATCAAGGCGAAACGTTCACAAAGGTAAGGGTGTCTTATCTGCCATTGGTGGCCTGGAACTGTTTCTCAAAGGATCTATCATAATTCGTGTATCCCTGAGCTTTTACCATTGGGTTGCAGACGGAAGCGACGGAGGTCTTCTTTTCCGTCACCAAGCTCTTTCAATCAAACGACATTGGCCTACGGCGATTCCTGTATCTCATGATCAAAGAGATCTCCCCATCATCCGACGAGGTATTTCATCTGGATTCAGGCCACTTATTACACTGACATCCACCGAAAGCGTTGATTTTCATTCAGAGATGTTGCGCAATCTTCTTCAGCAAGTAAATCTCTCCACGCATGCAGGTCATCATCGTGACAAGCTCCCTAATGAAGGACATGAACAGCAAGACGGACCTGTACAGAGCCAATGCCATCCGTGTGCTCTGTCGGATCACAGATGGAGGCCTTCTGGGCCAGATTGAGCGTTATCTGAAGCAGGCGGTTGTGGATAAGAACCCTGTCGTTGCCAGTGCTGCTCTGGTCAGCGGGTTCCACCTTCTCAAGGTAACTCATGATGTTGTGCGGCTGACGGTTATGCTCATGCTAATGGGAGTGAATTTGAGCAGAGATAAGTGACAAGGTGTTGAATTTCACGACATTTGTTGGGTGGTGTTGTTGCAGACGAATCCGGACATTGTACGAAGATGGAGCAATGAGATTCAGGAGGCGGTGCACTCCAAGTCACCTCTCGTGCAGTTCCATGCCCTCGCTCTCCTTCACCAGGTCAGCCTTCCTCTGTACCAATTTCTACGCTGCCCATCCTCTGTCTGCTCGCCACATACCCACTCTCTGTACTGCTGCCTGCTCTACCATCTTACTATATCTTCTGACTGCTGGGTTCACATTCATCCAATTATCTGCTTTCTTGTCTTATCTAATATAATCTGGATCTTCTTCTGAACAGATCCGGCAGAGCGACCGTCTGGCCATCAGCAAGCTGGTAACCAGCCTCATTCGAGGTGCTGTGCGCTCGCCGCTTGCACAGTGCCTGCTTGTGCGCTACACCTCCCAGGTAACATCCACCTCCTCGCTTAGTAGGGCAGGCTGTTTCATGTTGACAGCTATTGCATCGACCATGTAGCGAGCTGTTGCAGATGGCCAACATCACTCCACCACAATGTATTTGTGAAAACACTGTGGCAATACACGTGGTGTGTACATGCATTACATGGCAGGTGATTGAGGAGATGGGCCCTAACAACAACAATGCGCGCCCCTTCTTCGAGTTCCTCGAGAGCTGTCTGCGGCAGCGGGCGGACATGGTGATGCTGGAGGCAGCGCGCGCCATGACAGAGCTCACAGACATCACGGGCCGCGAGCTCACGCCGGCCATCACCGTGCTCCAGATGTTCCTCTCCTCGCCCAAGCCCGTGCTGCGCTTCGCCGCCATCCGCACGCTCAACAAGGTCGCCATGGCGCACCCGCAGGCGGTTACCAACTGCAACATTGACATGGAGACGCTGATTTCGGACCCGAACCGCAGCATTGCGACGCTCGCGATCACGACGCTGCTCAAGACGGGGAATGAGGCGAGCGTGGACCGGCTGATGAAGCAGATCACCAACTTCATGTCGGATATTGCCGATGAGTTCAAGATTGTCGTCGTGGAGGCCATTCGCTCGCTCTGCCTCAAATACCCCCAGAAATACCGTGTCCTGTAAGTCGGGCATTGCTTCAGCCTCATGTCATCGCGTCGCTCTACTCTCTGCCTAGCAGCTTCGCATTTGTTTCTCAGGCTGTGATTGCGTTCCGAATAAACGCGGATGCTGTGAAATTTTATGCATGAGCATGCACTCAAAACAATTTTCTCTCGCTGTGTTGATTGTTTGCAGCATGAACTTCCTGAGCGGCATCTTGCGGGAGGAGGGTGGGTTTGAGTACAAGAAGGCGATAGTGGACTCCATCCTCATTCTCATCCGGGAGATCCCTGATGCCAAGGAGATTGGCCTCTCACACCTCTGCGAGTTCATTGAGGACTGCGAATTCACCTACCTCTCCTCGCAGGTAAACTGATTTTCATGTGCTGCTTATTCAAACCCCACTCCTTTCTTTTTCACCCTGTCAGCTGCAGTCAGCTGTCACGAGACAGGCAATAGCATATTAATTTGCAGAATACCAGGCTCCACTCCCCTCCTCCCAAACAACCCACGCCCCCCCCCCCCCCACCTTATTTTCCTGCTGATTTAGAACATTTTCCTCCTTATCCGCTTCCCTTGTAATTCATGTGCACTTCCTCCTTTGGATCTCTGTGCAATTTTTCCATGGGACCTTGGCTTGTCTACCACCTACACCTGGCAGATTCTGCATCTGCTGGGCAACGAGGGACCCAAGACGCCAGAGCCGGCGCGGTACATCCGCTTCATCTACAACCGCGTCATCCTCGAGAACGCCACTGTCAGGGCCAGCGCCGTCAGCACCCTCGCCAAGTTCGGCGCCCAAGTGGAAGCCCTCCGGGTGGGTCTGGGTTGCACTGAGGGCGGTTGTGAAGGTTGGGGAACAGGTGGATTGTGTGAATGTGGATTGGACTGGGAATTCATGGGTATCGATGAGTTGATGGCAGGATTCTCTGAGGTCTAAGGTCTTTCTCCATTGTGACCCCAGCAGTCGAAGTATCGTTCACCATCAGCTCATGGGTCGTCTTTTCCTCCCTTTGCTGCTCCCTTATACCCTGTCCCACTTCTTTCATGCAGCCTCGCATTGTCACTCTCCTGCGCCGCTGTCTGTACGACAATGATGATGAGGTGAGGGCGATGCCAACTATCTCAGCCAGAAGTGTGGTGAAATTTGTGTTTGCTCCTTTGTCTCCTTATCTCCCCACCTCTTTGGCAACCCTTCATAAGCTTCAAGCTCCCATCCTCGTAGATCTCCTCATCCTGGAGGTACTAACGCCATTCCTGCCCCAATTGTTTTTGAACCCCCAACAGGTGCGAGACCGAGCAACACTGTACCTGAACGTGCTGGGGGGCGACGGGCAGGAGTCGGTGGCAGCCAGTGGCGCCAGCGACTTCATGCTGGAGGCCCTTGACGTGCCCCTTGTCAACCTCGAGACCGCTCTCAAGCACTATGTGAGTCACTCGTTGTGAGGTTCACTGGGTCTTTTTCTACTGTGTCACACTGGAGTAGTTTGTTATGTGCATGTGCAGGAGAGGTTTACAGGTAGAAGGGGAGGTTTACATGGTTGAGCACATGTGTACTTGTGGGCACGTTTGCATGTTTGCATGTGTGGATGTATTTTGCGAGTTTGCTGACCTGATAAGCGTCAGCTTAACAATTTGCTTCTCTCTTCGTCCCCCCCTCTCCCCCGATCAGGAGCCAAGTGAGGCACCGTTCGACATAGACAGCGTGCCCAAGGAGGTGAAAGGCCTGCCTCCTGCCAAGGCGGGCGCCAAGAAGGCGGCCAAGGAGGCAGCGGCGGCCAAGGCGGCCGGCGGTGGTGCATCGGCGTCAGAGACGTACGAGAAGCTCCTCAACTCCATCCCCGAGTTTGCCACCTTCGGCAAGCTGTTCAAGGTGCGAGGGCAGGCTGCAGCAATGGGGAGGAGGGGGCGAGGCATGGGCTCAAGGGCGGGATGTGATGCTGTGTACGCTGCATCCAAGCTGTCCAAAAATGCCTTCCCCTTCAGGCACATTCGACTTTTTTCGTAGTTCTCTTACATGTCTCCTCCCTCACCCCTCTCTCCCCCCCTTCGCTCTGCCATGTCCCGCAACCTCTCCCCGATCCCCTCTTCGTCTTCCCTCTCCCCCCCCTGCACTGCAGTCGACACGGCCAGTGGAGCTAAGAGGCAGAGACGGAGTATAGTGTAAACGTGGAAGCATTTTCGAAATGTTTCAGGACAATCTCAACTCTTTCCCTCTTCCTTTTCTGCGTCTCCACCCTGCTCCTTCACAACCTTCCCCCCTCCCCTCCCCCCTGCGCTGCAGTCATCAGCGCCAGTGGAGCTGACGGAGTCAGAGACAGAGTACAGTGTGAACGTGGTGAAGCACGTGTTCCCCGCACACATGGTCTTCCAGTTCAACTGCACCAACACCATCGCCGAGCAGATGCTGCAGGATGTGAGTGCCGCGTGTCCTGTGCCTTTTGCCTCCCCTCTTCATTCCCAACCACTGGCGCCGCCTCTAGCCGAGCCGAACCATTTTTCTTTCGCCTAGCTCCCCGTGTTTTGCTTTCACATTTGGCACTCAAAACCTTCGTTTCCCTTCCTCGCCTCGTATCCCGTTCCCGCAGGTCACAGTGCTCATGGACCTGGCAGAGGCGGAGGAGTTTGAAGAGGTGGCGACCATTCCGCTCAAGAGCATGGCGTACGGAGTGACGGGGCAGACGTTTGTGGCGCTGTCCAAGCCAGAGGGCGCACTGACGCTGGGCAAGATCACGAACATCATGAAGTTCAAGGTGGTCGAAGTGGATCTCAATACGGGCGATGCAGAGGAGGAGGGGTACGAGGACGAGTACCAGCTGGAAGACCTCGAGGTGAGTCTGGGACTCTGAGGTGGTGTTTGAGTAGTGGTGATAAGGGTTCTTGAGTTTACTCAAGCCGAAGGGCACGCTGACGCTGGGCAAGATGACCAACATCATGAAGTTCAAGGGTGGACCTTAATACGGGCGATGCGGAGGAGGGGGGGTACGAGGACGAGTACCAGCTGGAAGACCTCGAGGTGAGTTGGTGATGTTGTTGGATGGGCTGGATGGGTTGTATGGGTTTGAGTCGCAGATTACACCACTCACACACTTCAACCGCGATTTCGCCCCTTGCGCAACCCCCTTCATTGTACCCTAACCTTCCATTTCCCTCCCCCTCCCACATCCGCCCCTCCCTCTCTTTCTCCAGGTATCGTCAGCGGACTATGTGCGGAAGCTGAGTGTGCCCAACTTCAGAGCAGCATGGGAGGCCATCGACCCATCTCTCGAGCGTGTGGACGAGTACGGCCTAGGCGTGCGCGACAGCCTGCAGGAGGCAGTAGAGGCAGTTATCACCATTCTGGGCATGCAGCCGTGCGAGAGCAGCGAGAACGTGCCGTCCAATGCACGCTCGCACCAATGCCTGCTTGCCGGAACGTTCCCAGGGGATGTATCGGCGCTGGTGCGGCTGTCGTTTGGCATGGATGCGCAGAAGCAGGTGGCCATGAAGCTGGCTGCTCGGTCAGAGGATGTCACCATCAGCGATCTGGTGCATGAGATCATTGCCAATGCATAGACTCGTGGTGGACTTGGTTCAGAATATGCTGTTAATGGAATCTAAATAATCGCTCATACAATGCTTGTTTGTCCAGGAGCTTCAAGTTCCGGTATACAGAAGATGGAGTCTTCAATCCTCTGCTCAAATCATCTGTTCTCTTGACAACAAAAGAGGGCTGCTTTATACCGCGTTTTATGGGCCAGGTTGCACGCCATTGGGATCAGGAATTTGAAGAAAAATGGACTGCTGTGCAGAATTCCAGTATCAGGAAAGCCAGCCAGCTCCCAATCATCATCACCCCATCACAATCCATCATCCTGATTCCTGAACTATCACTCCTGGTGTCAACTTGTGACCACAAGTGCCACATCAGCGCCCATCATTCAGCCGTCTCATCCCTTTTCCCGTCCGCCTGTCCCCCTTGCTCCTTCCCCTCCGCGCCTTCTTCCCGAGCCAGCACAGCCATGGCAGTGGCATCCTTCCTCCCAGCACGCGGCTTAGGGCCCCAGTACGCCTCTGGGTTGGGCACAAACCGAGCCACTCCCTTCTGCTGTGCCTTGCTCAACGCCTTTGGCGCTTTGGCAAAATTGACCTGGGGAAAGGCAGAGGGGACGGAGAAGGCAGCAGCAGCGAGAGAACAAGTTGTAAGGGGCATGTGACTTGGGACACAGGTCAACGTAGAAGTACAGCAAGCAAGAAGCAGCAGCGGCACTCTCCCTAGTTCTGCACCTTGCTCATGCAAGACCCGTTCAGATCCACTGACAAAAAATCTCCATTGCCCATGTCACTCACAATGGATAAATTCGTCATACCTCAGTCGTGGGGGGCTTGGCCAGAATCGTGTCAGCTGGGCTGCCCTCCCCTTGGGACTTCACGGGGTGGTCTCGGATCTGGTTACCACATGGACACGTGGGGTGTTACACGTGGAGATGGGATGAATGGCGTTTAAGGCATGGGACGTGGAGAGATGCAGAGCCCTCAGCGTGCAGGTTCACATGGCACATTATCACACCATACATCATCGAAATCAGGCAATGTCCAATTATTCAATCCACACATGCCCCTCCCCTCCTCTTCCCCCCATCACCCACGCATAACTCACCCAGCAGCGCATGACGTCCCAGATAAGACCCAGGGGGGCGTCGGTCTTGATGCCAAGCGGGTTGGAGTGCGCCCCTGACACGCGGTGCCCGGCGTTGACGAGCGCGGAGCGGAACAGCAGCATGCTGGGCGGCGTGCACTTGAGTGTGGTGCTGATCTCATGCAGGTCGATGTACAGCGGGATGTCGTGGAGCTCCTGGGGGAGAAAGAACGGAAGAAGAAATGGGAAGAGAGGAAAGGGGAGAGGGAAGGGCGGCATGAACTTGAGTGTGGCGCTGATCTCATGCAGGTCGCTGATCTCAGCGGGATGTCGTGCAGCACCTGGGGTAGGTGGGGAACGATAGGAAGTCAAGGGGAGAGGGGAAGGGAGGTATATTTGAGTGTGGCACTTGCGTCATGTACCATGCAGAGGTACATAACACCTCCTCCTGTCTCACTAACCCCCTCCTCCTTCCTCCTTCCCCCCTCCACACTTTCCACTTCCCCCTTCCACCTGTCCCGTTCCCCCTTCCCCCTCTCCTCCCCCTCTCACCTCAGACACAGCAGTCAGCAGCCCATGCACCTTGCCGAACCCAGCCAGCTTCGCCTTCCCCGCTTGCACCTCCCCCAGAACCAGCCGAACCCAGCTGGCATCATGGATGGGCGCCGACCACATGGGCCCTCCGATGCTCAGATGCCGCCCGCAGTGCTCACACGCAGGAGGGATTACGGGACCTAGACCAGGGAGGTACCTGGGAGGAGGAGGTGGGGCGTCTGGTTTCTGGAGGGACAAAACGACGTGAGGGGTCAGAGGGGAAGAAAGAGGAGGGGGGAGTAAAAAGAGGGGAAAACAAAGCTCGCTAGCACGGTCAGACAGTGCCAGGTACGTGGAGCACCAATTAGATGACATGACTATATGTGGCAGCGACTATGTGTATTCTTTCTTTACATGGTCTCACCTTGGCGCGCCCCTCAACAACCCGTCCCACGGGCTGCAGGTGGTAGGAGTCACAGCCGGAGCACTGGAAGACGTATGCCAGCTTGCTGGGTGTCGCCTTCACTGCCTGCGCTGACCTGGTGGCGGGCCAGCAGGAGCGTTGAGGGAGCAGATGAGGCACAGCGGGAAGAGGAGACAAGACAGCGATGAGGCTCTAAACGGCAGGTCAGTGCATAGAAGACGGACTCGACTAGTGTTGTTGAGTGATCTGAGATGCAGTGAAGCGCCAGATTACATCATGTAGTGCAGTGGTGCTGCTGCAATGCAAACCTACACTACACTCTTCTCACGTGAATCAAACTCAATCAGACTCACGTGAATCAAACTCAATCAGAATTACGTGAATCAAACTCAATCAGACTCACGTGAATCAAACTCAATCAGACTCACGTGAATCAAACTCAATCAGACTCACGTGAATCAAACTCAATCAGACTCACGTGAATCAAACTCAATCAGACTCACGTGAATCAAACTCAATCAGACTCACGTGAATCAAACTCAATCAGACTCACGTGAATCAAACTCAATCAGACTCACGTGAATCAAACTCAATCAGACTCACGTGAATCAAACTCAATCAGACTCACGTGAATCAAACTCAATCAGACTCACGTGAATCAAACTCAATCAGACTCACGTGAATCAAACTCAATCAGACTCACGTGAATCAAACTCAATCAGACTCACGTGAATCAAACTCAATCAGACTCACGTGAATCAAACTCAATCAGACTCACGTGAATCAAACTCAATCAGACTCACGTGAATCAAACTCAATCAGACTCACGTGAATCAAACTCCATCAGACTCACGTGAATCAAACTCAATCAGACTCACGTGAATCAAACTCAATCAGACTCACGTGAATCAAACTCAATCAGACTCACGTGAATCAAACTCAATCAGACTCACGTGAATCAAACTCAATCAGACTCACGTGAATCAAACTCAATCAGACTCACGTGAATCAAACTCAATCAGACTCACGTGAATCAAACTCAATCAGACTCACGTGAATCAAACTCAATCAGACTCACGTGAATCAAACTCAATCAGACTCACGTGAATCAAACTCAATCAGACTCACGTGAATCAAACTCAATCAGACTCACGTGAATCAAACTCAATCAGACTCACGTGAATCAAACTCAATCAGACTCACGTGAATCAAACTCAATCAGACTCACGTGAATCAAACTCAATCAGACTCACGTGAAGACGCGCACGAAGACGCGGATGTAGAAGTCAACAGACACAGACAGCACCGGCACTATGTGCCGCTTAAACCGGTTCGCCGCACTCTGATGGCAAAGGCACAGGAGGGAATGGTGGTGAAAAGTAGAGGGCGAATGGATTGTTGAGGACAGGAAGAGAGAATGTTGACACAAGAAATCTGAGGCAGCAGCAGCATGAGCAGCATGTAACGCATGACGCTATGACGAGCAACTGTATGGAAACGGGCCCTGTGAGTAGAGTGTTTCTATGAGCACTGACCCTACGACGGGCGTTCCTGTGAACGCTGCAGCAGTTAAGTAAACTGACTCAAAGGAGGGTTACCTCGATGGAGGCGAGCAGTATGCGGATCGCCATCTCGTGGCAGTACTTGGCACGGTGTGGATACGCCCCGTACCTGACACAGTCATACATAGGATAGGACACACAAAATACGCACATGATTACTTTTGAGTCGACTCAAAAGTCAGTTGAAACTGTCAAACAATGCATACATAGAGCACACACACAGCGAGCATGGGCGGTGACAGAAGTGTTTGGGATGCCTGGACTGCTGACTGTATGTCAAGTTTCTGTATTCAGAGTTTTGATTCTGTTTTCTGTAACTGCAGCTCACGTGGAGTCGTAGACCTCGGCGTTCTTCCCACACAGCACGGCCATGTCTGTGGCACGGTGGCAGTTACCAGCAGCAGCAAGCCCCACATGCAACCCTGAACCAATATCCGTCTCTGAATCCAGAGTCCAGAACACCATCAGGAGCCCTACGCCGCTACGCATGGGCTCACTTGGAGTAGCAGACCTCGGCATTGTTGCCACACAGCACGGCCATGTCAGTGGCCGTCACCAGCAGCATGCCCCCATCCGCCACTGCCTGCACTGCCCCGTCCAAGAAGACCGACGGCGTCCCGTACGGGTCCAGATCCACCTGCGGGGACGACGGTAGGGTGAATATTGAGTTTCTTAGCAGTCAACTCATGCTTTGACTCAATCAACGTCTCTGTCCCCGTCTGTACCAACAGCGAGCCAACAGCCCTGCCTAGGAAGACGGACAGCGAGCCATGCCATGAGGATCAGGATTTTCTTGCCAACGCAGCAGAATCGAGTCGATATTCGTTGTCGACTGAAAACACCGGCAATAGAAAAAGTCCCCATCCAGGAAGACTGAAGGAATTGCCACACTCACTCACCGCATCAAACTCCTTCTCGTGCAGTATCATGTACACACGAGCATCGCCTTGCTCCGCTCTCACTGGTACCGCCCCCTCCCCTTCAACCTTCCCCCCCTCACTCGCCGGCTCACCATCCCCTCCCTTCCCCTCCTCCTTGCCCTCCCCTTCCTCCCCCTCAGCCACAGCAGCACCACCAGCAGTGGCGGGTGGTGGAGGAGCAGCAGGACTAGCGGTGGCGGTAGCGGTGGCGGTAGCGGTGGCGGGTGGTGGTTTACCACCGAAGTTGTGTGCTACATTGCGTTGGCAGGCCTGCACGGCCACGGGGTCGTTGTCCAACGCCACCACCGTTCCCACCCCCGGGATCTCCTTCGCGTACCGGATCGACCGCAGCCCTGATGCTGCAAGTCCCTGGGGAGGGGGGGGGAGGGGACGGGCGGGGAGGGAGGAAGAAGATGCGAGGAGGAGCGGTATGAAGAGCCCACCCCGCGATCTCCTTGGCCACCGGATCAACCGCAGGGCTCGACGCTGCCAACCCCTGCGCGTGGGGAGGGTGGGCGGAGATGGAAGGCTAGTTTTGAGGCGCCTCAAAACTAGAGATGGAAGGGAAGGATAGGCAGTGGGGAAGGGTAGGTAGAATGTGGGAGGAGTGGAGAGTGTGGGGTTGAAGTTATTTTTATTCATGCATTGTCACGGGTCAAGGTGGAAAAGAGTGCATACACACCGACCTCTAAGATTCTCAAAGGCTTCACTTCAGCCACCTTCGCCTGCTGCTGCTGCTGCCCCTCCCCCGCTTCAGCCGCTGCATCTGTTGCAACCGCGCCGTCCCCCTTCTCTCCGCTCTTCTCATTCCCCTCCCCTCCTTCCCCTCCTGCGGCCCCCCCTTCCGATGCTCTTCCCTCTCCCTCCTTCACCTCCTTTTGCTCCCCCTCCCCATCCCCCGCTTCCCCATTCTCCCCGCCTTCCCCTTTATCCGCGCTTCCCCCTTTCTCCCCGCCTTCCCCTTTTTCCGCGCCTCCCCCTTTCTCCCCGCCTCTAAGTTTCGCCGCAGCAGCCGCTGCAGATTTCGCCGCAAGGTCCGCATTGGGGTGTTTCAGGAGCGCCCGTCCCTTCACACCCGCCGCCGCAGCCGCGGCGCGCTGATTCTCCTCCTCCCGCCGAACCGCGACGAACGCGCGGAGCACGCAAACGGACAGGTCGCGATTAACTACCTGCGCCTTGTTATAGAACACGTCGTTACCCTGTACTAAAATCTCCGCTGCACCCTCTTTCAAAACCTTAAACCCTGAGGAACCCCCCATGGCCTCGCCTCCCCCTCCCGTTGCCCCCGCTGCGCCCGCGGACCCTTCTTCCCCCGCTGCCGTCGCTTTTGACTTCTTGTGTTCCTTCTCCGTTTCCGCCTCCGCCTTGCGCTTATCGCCCATTGGAGGGGGCGCTTGCGCGGAAGTCAGACCGCGCGCGGATATCACTTGGCGCAAAAATTCCGATAAGCGCGGAGAACCCAATGCACCCTCAGGAATCACCCTCCCCGCAGATTTTGGCGCACGCTGGAGCAAAGAAGCGTGCAGAGCGCGGTGTGACTGAGCCCGATGTGACTGTATCGCACGGGTGAGCGTTGCAATCAAGAACCCCCCACTTGAGTGAAATCCGCGCATACACGCTGTTGCTGCTCGGAAGCTGCTGCGTGCCGAGCTCAGTAAGTTGCTCTGGCTTTGATGCTTCAGCCTGGGCGAAAAGACGTGTGTTGCGTTCGGGGCGGAAATCACAGAACAAGACGAAACCAGCCTTGTTCTTGTGTTCATCACGCCCAAAACGACTCGCTTCGGTATTAGTATAGCGCACGCATAATCAAAATGCGAGTTCTTCAGCTACATCTCTATAGCACACATTGCGCTTTACACCAAAGCCTCACATTCTTCATAGTACCTAATGGCATCCTCATATTTGTCCCGCCTGACATTGCACCGAGGCTCTGCCACTGCTAGAAGATTCGAAACAGGCCCTAACACACTACCCCCGACCCCCACTCCCTGCGCCACACTAGCAGCAGGTTGCTGGGGATTATGGGCGTGGGGGAAGGTAACTGGAAGCGAGTGCTGGGCCGCTGTGAGACCGCTGAGGGCGTAGCAGGTGTGGTAGTAGTCGCGTGACTTGCCTGGTTTGTCCCTCAGCCCCCCCTCTGGCACCTGCAGGCACAGCAAGTGAAGGAAGAGCAGGGAGGTGCTAAGACAATGGTTATGATGCGAGGCTGGCATATGCTTGGCAGACAAGGGAAACACAGGAAGCCTTACCTTATTGTGCCGAGCGTATGCCAGTCGGGAGCAGTCTCGGGCTAACTTTGAAGGGCGCCATGTGAAAGGGGAGGAAGAGGTGAGGAATGAGTTGTGGGAAGGATGATGAGGTGGAGTAAATACCTGGCAGCACAGCAGCAGGTAAGCCTGTAGTGCCACGTCGTTGTAACAGAAGCTGCCAACCCAGTCATGCCCACCACGTGTAGTTGCCCCGTCCCCCGAATCCCCTCGCACTGTACCTTCCACCCCTTCCCTCCCCTCCTCTCTCTCTCCTCCCCCCTCCACTCCTCCCCTCCTCTCTCCTCCCCTCCTCTCTCCTCCCCTCCTCTCTCCTTCATCCCCAGCTTCAGCAGGCAGTAGCAGAGACTCGGGGCAGGGGAAGAGGTCAGCAGCAGAGGCAGACGGAACACGGTGAAACCCCACATCTGCTTCTTCCCACTCATCCTCTTCCTCTTCATCTTCCTCCTCCTCATCCTCCTCATCAACCTCCGCCTCTCTGCCCTCCTCACTGCCACCATCACCTGCTGTTGCACTGGAGCGTTCTACAGCCCCACCATACCTACCAGCAGCCCCTCCTGAATCACCAGCAGCCGCCCTCTCCTCGCCGCCGCCTGCCTGCACGCCTTGCCGATCCCCTCCTGCACCCTCCAAATGCGGCACTGAGCTCACGTTGCTCGGCTGTTGCGCTGAGCTAGCATCACCACTGGGGCGGGTGTGGGAGGGAGAGCAGAGGGCGAGGAGCGGGAAGAGCCCGCCCTGCCAGAGGCTGTAGCAGGCGTCCACCAGCTTGTTGCTGCGGCCCTGAAACCCCCCCTCCACACTGCCCTGGCGGAACACCAGCCAGTCCTGCTCCAGGGATGCAAGGTATAGGAGGAGAGGTGATGGGGCCATGGATGCAAGCAAGGTATGGCAGGCGAGGTGATGGGGCCATGGATGCAAGCAAGGTATGGCAGGCGAGGTGATGGGGCCATGGATGCAAGCAAGGTATGGCAGGCGAGGTGATGGGGCCATGGATGCAAGCAAGGTATGGCAGGCGAGGTGATGGGGCCATGGATGCAAGCAAGGTATGGCAGGCGAGGTGATGGGGCCATGGATGCAAGCAAGGTATGGCAGGCGAGGTGATGGGGTGGCGGAGGGGCGTGGCAGAGGAGAGGATGGGCAGAAGATGACGTGCTCCAGGGATGCGTGGTATGGCAGGATAGGTGAAGGAGACGGAAGGGGTGCTAAGGAGAGGATGGGCTGCAGGCCGTCGAGAGAGAGAGGATAAAATGTTGCCAGTGGATGAGCATTCTGAAGCAACGACTAGTCTTGGATCATTCTCGAAACCAACCAGCGACCACAGGTACGAACTATGATGCAGAGGCAGGAAGGGTGTCAGGCCGAGCAGAATGGGGTGAAAGGTTGGAAGGAAAGGGAGCAGAGGGGGACAGGGATACGGGCCAGGAGCAGTGGCAGCAGGTCGAGATGCTCCCAATGGTATGCTTCTTTCACTTTTAGTTTGAGACTTTTCGAAAGTGATACAACCGGTGGGAGGCAGGCAATAGCAGCAGGAGCATATGAGAAGAAATCACGCACCAGAAGCAGTGGCAGGTCGAGATGCTCCCAGGGGTCAGCGCCAGCCAATAACACTGCCGCGAGCCCACAAAATGTGTAACTGGGTGGAGAGGGGTGGGAGGGGCAACAGCATGGAAGGGACGGGACATGGGAGAGGCGAGGCGTTCTATGAAGGGATAGAGTGGAGTGGTAGTGAGGAGAAGGAAAGAGAACGTAGTGTTCGTTCCACAGCAAAAATGTGACTCCATCATACCATCTCTCCATGAATCTGAGACCCCTCTCATTCATACCCCGTCCCCACGTCCCATGCAATCCCACTCATTCCCATTGCACCACACCTCCCTATCCCATCCCACTCATCTCAACCCCTTCCCCTCCATATCCCCATTTCCTTCACTGAACCCCCAACTCCGCCCACTCACCCCCCATGTGCCTCTGCGCAAGGCTCCCCTCCGATGCCGCCTTCGTACGTCTGGCAGCTGTAGTGGTGGACAGGAGAGAACATGGGAAGGTAATGCGCGCTTTACAGGTGAGAGGCATTTCGCAAGCCGAAACGGTACAAAGTGGTTTATGCGCATACCATACATAACCTCCATGTACAACATCACTCATCAACTCTCGTCACCTGTTATCACCTTTCTCTCATCATCTCTCACCACTGCTCTCAACCGCCCACCTGTGCACATATGCCGCCACGTTCTCTGTGAGGTCAGGCGTGCGGATGCAGAGCAGATGCGCCACCTGGGGGGGGTAAGGGAAAGCTCAGAGAAATTTCAGTTGGGAGAGTGCAGTGCAGCGCAGACAGCCCCCGAGCCAAGTGGACGAACGATGAGCAGGTGAGGCAGCTAAAGGGGCCTAAGCGAGTGGAGAGAGGCTGAGCAAGTGTGCGGCAGGCAGGGGGCTCTTTTTGAGGCGCCTCAAAAATAGGCAGGGCGCTCAGAGGCGAACCAGAAATCAACGGGGCGAGATAGGGAAAGGGGGAATTGGCGCGTCGCGCGAAGAAGGGAGGTGGCATTACAGCAAGCTTGGCCCCATCAAAGCAAAACAGCATATGACTCACCGCCATGGCAGTATAGCAACCCCTCACGTCCGTCTCGCCCCCTTGATGCAACCTTCACGGCAGAGTGGGGTGGGAGAAGGATGTGGGAAGAGTGGGTGGAGAGAGGGAGGTGGAGAGAGGGAGGTGGAGAGAGGGAGGTGGAGAGAGGGAGGTGGAGAGAGGGAGGTGGAGAGAGGGAGGTGGAGAGAGGGAGGTGGAGAGAGGGAGGTGGAGAGAGGTGGGTGGGGAGAGGTGGGTGGAGAGAGGTGGGTGGGAAGAGGAAGACGGGGCACGGCAGGGAATGGCACCTGGGAGGGTGAGCGGAAGGGGTGGTAAATGTTCTTCGAGGTAACATGCTCTCGATGTTCTTGCAGCAGCCCCTCCCAAGACAAAACCCGTGGCCATGCAATGCAGGCCCCACGACATGGTCCCAGACAGAATTGACTGAAGTTTTGAGTCGACTAAAAACTCGACAAAACCCGTGGCCATGCAATGCAGGCCCCACGACATAGTCCCAGACAGAATTGACTGAAGTTTTGAGTCGACTCAAAACTCGACAAAACCCGTGGCCATGCAATGCAGGCCCCACGACATGGTCCCAGACAGAATTGACTGAAGTTTTGAGTCGACTCAAAACTCGACAAAACCCGTGGCCATGCAATGCAGGCCCCACGACATAGTCCCAGACAGAATTGACTGAAGTTTTGAGTCGACTCAAAACTCGACAAAACCCGTGGCCATGCAATGCAGGCCCCACGACATAGTCCCAGACAGAATTGACTGAAGTTTTGAGTCGACTCAAAACTCGACAAAACCCGTGGCCATGCAATGCAGGCCCCACGACATAGTCCCAGACAGAATTGACTGAAGTTTTGAGACGACTCAAAACTCGACAAAACCCGTGGCCATGCAATGCAGGCCCCACGACATGGTCCCAGACAGAATTGACTGAAGTTTTGAGTCGACTCAAAACTCGACAAAACCCGTGGCCATGCAATGCAGGCCCCACGACATGGTCCCAGACAGAATTGACTGAAGTTTTGAGTCGACTCAAAACTCGACAAAACCCGTGGCCATGCAATGCAGGCCCCACGACATAGTCCCAGACAGAATTGACTGAAGTTTTGAGTCGACTCAAAACTCGACAAAACCCGTGGCCATGCAATGCAGGCCCCACGACATAGTCCCAGACAGAATTGACTGAAGTTTTGAGTCGACTCAAAACTCGACAAAACCCGTGGCCATACAATGCAGGCCCCACGACATAGTCCCAGACAGAATTGACTGAAGTTTTGAGTCGACTCAAAACTCGACAAAACCCGTGGCCATGCAATGCAGGCCCCACGACATAGTCCCAGACAGAATTGACTGAAGTTTTGAGTCGACCCAAAACTCGACAAAACCCGTGGCCATGCAATGCAGGCCCCACGACATAGTCCCAGACAGAATTTACTGAAGTTTTGAGTCGACTCAAAACTCGACAAAACCCGTGGCCATGCAATGCAGGCCCCACGACATAGTCCCAGACAGAATTGACTGAAGTTTTGAGTCGACTCAAAACTCGACAAAACCCGTGGCCATGCAATGCAGGCCCCACGACATAGTCCCAGACAGAATTGACTGAAGTTTTGAGTCGACTCAAAACTCGACAAAACCCGTGGCCATGCAATGCAGGCCCCACGACATAGTCCCAGACAGAATTGACTGAAGTTTTGAGTCGACTCAAAACTCGACAAAACCCGTGGCCATGCAATGCAGGCCCCACGACATAGTCCCAGACAGAATTGACTGAAGTTTTGAGTCGACTCAAAACTCGACAAAACCCGTGGCCATGCAATGCAGGCCCCACGACATAGTCCCAGACAGAATTGACTGAAGTTTTGAGTCGACTCAAAACTCGACAAAACCCGTGGCCATGCAATGCAGGCCCCACGACATAGTCCCAGACAGAATTGACTGAAGTTTTGAGTCGACTCAAAACTCGACAAAACCCGTGGCCATGCAATGCAGGCCCCACGACATAGTCCCAGACAGAATTGACTGAAGTTTTGAGTCGACTCAAAACTCGACAAAACCCGTGGCCATGCAATGCAGGCCCCACGACATAGTCCCAGACAGAATTGACTGAAGTTTTGAGTCGACTCAAAACTCGACAAAACCCGTGGCCATGCAATGCAGGCCCCACGACATAGTCCCAGACAGAATTGACTGAAGTTTTGAGTCGACTCAAAACTCGACAAAACCCGTGGCCATGCAATGCAGGCCCCACGACATAGTCCCAGACAGAATTGACTGAAGTTTTGAGTCGCCCCACGACATAGTCCCAGACAGAATTTACTGAAGTTTTGAGTCGACTCAAAACTCGACAAAACCCGTGGCCATGCAATGCAGGCCCCACGACATAGTCCCAGACAGAATTGACTGAAGTTTTGAGTCGACTCAAAACTCGACAAAACCCGTGGCCATGCAATGCAGGCCCCACGACATAGTCCCAGACAGAATTGACTGAAGTTTTGAGTCGACTCAAAACTCGACAAAACCCGTGGCCATGCAATGCAGGCCCCACGACATAGTCCCAGACAGAATTGACTGAAGTTTTGAGTCGACTCAAAACTCGACAAAACCCGTGGCCATGCAATGCAGGCCCCACGACATAGTCCCAGACAGAATTGACTGAAGTTTTGAGTCGACTCAAAACTCGACAAAACCCGTGGCCATGCAATGCAGGCCCCACGACATAGTCCCAGACAGAATTGACTGAAGTTTTGAGTCGACTCAAAACTCGACAAAACCCGTGGCCATGCAATGCAGGCCCCACGACATAGTCCCAGACAGAATTGACTGAAGTTTTGAGTCGACTCAAAACTCGACAAAACCCGTGGCCATGCAATGCAGGCCCCACGACATAGTCCCAGACAGAATTGACTGAAGTTTTGAGTCGACTCAAAACTCGACAAAACCCGTGGCCATGCAATGCAGGCCCCACGACATAGTCCCAGACAGAATTGACTGAAGTTTTGAGTCGACTCAAAACTCGACAAAACCCGTGGCCATGCAATGCAGGCCCCACGACATAGTCCCAGACAGAATTGACTGAAGTTTTGAGTCGACTCAAAACTCGACAAAACCCGTGGCCATGCAATGCAGGCCCCACGACATAGTCCCAGACAGAATTGACTGAAGTTTTGAGTCGACTCAAAACTCGACAAAACCCGTGGCCATGCAATGCAGGCCCCACGACATAGTCCCAGACAGAATTGACTGAAGTTTTGAGTCGACTCAAAACTCGACAAAACCCGTGGCCATGCAATGCAGGCCCCACGACTTAGTCCCAGACAGAATTGACTGAAGTTTTGAGTCGACTCAAAACTCGACAAAACCCGTGGCCATGCAATGCAGGCCCCACGACTTAGTCCCAGACAGAATTGACTCGACTCACCTGAAACCCCCTGATTGGCACTTCATGCGGCGCAGAAAGGCAAGCATCGATCTCCTGGTCCTCGCATGGAGGGAGGGATGTGCGAGGGAGGGCGGGATATGAGGGAAGAGGAGGGATTTGCAATAAGGGAAGGGACATGAGGGAGGGACACAGAGTCGGAGGGACACGGCTCAAGGAGGAGAGGAGAGAGAGGAGAAAAAAATGAGCAGACAAAGAGAAGGGGAAGAGAAGGCTGGGGAAAGAGGAAGAGGAGGGAAGGGCGGAGTGGAAGAACGATACGTGCAGAGTAAGAGGAGGGGTATGGAAGCACGGTGGAGAGGGGTATGGGAGCGGTCAGGCACACCTGTTAACCACAGAAAGCGCCTCCTCCCCTCCCACTGTCAGCAGCGCTGCCACAGCTGCATACGTGGTAGCTAAGTGTGCCAGCTGCATGGCATGGGTGCATGCACAGTCAGACACACAGGTGGTTGAGGGGGACAAGGGAAGGGGAAGAAGAGGGGAAGGAGGCTGGGGAGTATGAGAGGTGAGATGTGGTTGTATTTGTATGGAGGTGAGGTGGTGGAGAGAGGGGGGGGGGGGGGGGGGGGGGGGGGGGGGGGGGGGGAGGAGGAGGAGGAGGAGGAGGAGGGGAGGAGGAGGGGGGGGAGGAGGAGGAGGAGGAGGAGGAGGAGGAGGAGGAGGAGGAGGAGGAGGAGGAGGAGGAGGAGGAGGAAGAAGAAGTAGAGGAGGAGGAGGATCGCAGAGAGGGGGAAAGAAGAATGCATGCAGGGCTGAAGGATGGAAGCTAACGGGACTACATCAAGATTGCTGATAAGATCCATGTGAGCAACACAAATCATGTACGTGAGAGGGTGGGGTGTGGTTGCATGTGACGTTAGTGGGTGCTCTCTCTCACCTGCCCTGGCCCTCCTCCGAAGCCGCCCTCGGGATGCTGTGGGGGAGGGGAGGAGGCAAGGATGGGGTGAGTGAGTAAGGGATGATAGTGAAGGCAGGGAATGGAGGGGGTTGAGATGACAATCTGGTCAAGGATGAGTGAATGGATGAAGACAGACATTCACACGATGAAAATGAGTGAGGCTGAACGGATCACGGCACTCGGGTCGGGTCGTTCATCATTGCCTCCACTCCACACTGTGATGCCGAATCCACTCCCAGCCTGAGCTGAGCCCATTTAAGGGCACCTGGAGCACACCTGGCGGCACCTGAAGCCTCACCTGGCGGTACCTGAGGCATCACCTGGTGGCAGCTGGAGCTCACTAGGCGGCACCTGAAGCTCACCCAGCGGCACCTGAAGCTCACCTGGCGGCACCTGAAGCTCACCTGGCGGCACCTGAAGCTCACCTGGCGGCACCTGAAGCTCACATGGCGGCAACTGAAGCTCACCTGGCGGCACCTAAAACACACCTGGCAGCGGCGCAGCGTGTCGGCGCATCGAGCAGCAAGAGAGGCGTCGAGGGGATGCTGGAGGAGGGAGAGTGAGTGCACGATCCAGAACACCAGCCACGGACGACTGGTAACCACATCGCACAATCAAAGGTACGAGGGGCGATGGGGATAAAAGGGAGATGAATCAGTGGCTGGAGAGGGATGAGATGAGCATGTATAGTGCCGTTCGCTGAAAACGCATGCTGTGATGTTTAAATCGACACGCGGAAAATGATGTGCTGACCTGGCATCCGGGCTGGCGTAGCGGCTCGAGACGACAGCAGATGATATGCTGACCTGGCATCCAAGCTGGCATAGCTGCTCGAGAGGTGGTCCAGTCCCTTCAACAGGAATCGCACGTGTCGCTCCCGCAACAGCCGCAGCCCCTCTCCCCCGCTCCCGCTCCGCTCCTTCCGCCTCCCGCCCTCCGCCTCTTCCGCTTGGGCAGCACTGCGGGAGACGCAAACACGGGGAATTTGCGAAGAGAAGCGCGCGACGGGAGCAGCGTGAAACGAAGGGGGAAAAACGGCGAAGAGAGTCGGAGAAGCCCCAGGGAGACACTAACAAGAGAAGACGTGCAGTAAGACGCGCACCGCAGCAATTCATGCGCGCTAGTAATCGGCGCGCAGTGCGTACCGAGCCCGAGAGCCAGAGAGGCCGCCGCCACGCGCAAGCCACTCGCCGTAGATTCGGCTCACCGCCTCCTCGAGTTCATCCTGAGCGTCCATTGTCGACATGCCGCCGCACCGGCGGCGCCGGCTCGATGACGGTGATAAACGCGGTGAGCCTTAGACTAAACCAGAGATTAAAGTGAGTCGAGAACGCGGTGTGCCGGGTTCAAACGATTTAAGCGGGGCGCACTCCAAGGTACGACCAGTCGATTTTTTAGGCGCCTCAAAAACAAACGTCGCGGACTGCGGGCTTTCAAACTTCCAGGTACGACCAGCGCCCCTCGCTGCTGACTAGGTGCGGCGTCACGACTCACGTCACGAGCAGCGGGAGTGAACAACAAAACTGTGGCGAAAAAAGACATGGGTGGTGGATAAACAGGGGAGAATTATGGAGAAGATAACATATCAAAGCCAGGTTTCGATCCTGGGACCTGTGGGTTATGGGCCCACCACGCTTCCGCTGCGCCACTCTGATATGTTGGCGACGCGTCTTAATTTTTACAGTCCTATATTTGTTTGCGCAACCACATGCAACCACGTGTAACCACGTGCAACCAGTTGCAGCTGCTCTCCACCATTCCACCAGCCGCAGCTCTCCTATTCAACCACTTTCTGTGGTTGATGAGGTGCAGCAAAATTCACTTGGAATGCGTGTGGAGGAGCAACCAGCACGGGGATGCGGCGGCTGCTGGGGTCGTCGGCAGGCGGGTCGCGCGTGGGCGTGGCGCTGCTGTTCGTGGCACTCGTGGTCGCATGGACTATCGCATACTTCGCGACGGCGCACTTCACGCTGCTCACTTCGCCGTCCGCCATCTATCTGCTCCGCGGCGGCAATTCCTCCTCCGCCGCGTGGCTCTCTGAGTCGACTCAACAATCCGCCGCGTGGCTCCAACGGCTGCAAAGTAGCCTCTCCGTGCGGTCGCAGCTGGGAAATCCGCCACAGCCACAGTCACAGAACAAGCAACAGGAGAAACAGCAGGAGAAGGGGCGGCAGGAGCAGGAGAAGGGGCAGGGCCCTAGCCAGCAGGACAAGCGGGAAAAGCGGGACGAGGAACCAGCGAAGCAGAACGAAACGACCTCTCACACTTCTGGGAACGAGCTTTTATCGCAGGAGCAGCTGTCGCAGCAGCACGTGGCTAATCAGGTAGACGAGTCGACCCTGGCGCTGTTCAAAGCTCAACAGGACAAGGCCTAAGGGCATCAACAGCAGCAGCAGCAGCAGCAGCAGCAGCAGCAGCAGCAGCAGCAGCAGCAGCAGCAGGTGGTGGCAGTGCAGCGGCAGGAAAAGGCACCAAGTGCACCAACCGCACCAGGTGTGCCGTCTCCCCCCGCTGCCAAGCCCTCTGCTGCAGCACCTGCTGCCGCTGCAAGTAGTAATGCTACTACAAGCGGTGACGCAGCAAGCGGTGATACCACTGCCACTGCCAGTGCTGCAGAAGTTCAAGAACCCGTGACTGTGGCCAATGACGGCCCGGTTGCCGTCTGCCTCGTGGGCGGCGCTCGGGACTTCGAGGCCACGTGGCCGTCCATCCTGCGCCACGTCATCAGCCGCTATCCGCCAGCTCACCTTTTCCTGCACTCGCCGCTGGACGAGCGCGCCAGCAAGCTGTGGGCGCTGCTGCTCGCTGCCAGCAACAGCACGAGTGCAGCGAGCGGTGGTGCCGCCAGCACCAGCAGCAGCAGCAGCAGCAGCAGCACAGAGAGTGCGGTGAGCATAGCGGCGGTGCGCATCTTCCCCAGTGCTGACATCGCCGAGACGGACGTGCACCGCGCGGCGCTCACCAGTAACGGCTCGCCACATGGCATCCAGGTGGGCACGCGGGTGGGTGGAATAGGGCCCTGCTCTCTCCGTCCCCCTTACTGGCGCACACCATATGAGCAGCATGACCTCTAGAGAAACGGACTAAATCCAGCTTGTCATGCCGCACAGCGTACCTCTCCTCCACCAATCTCCTCCCACGTCTGCTCTGCTCTGCTCTGCTCTGCTCTGCATCTCCGTCTCTCTCTCCATCGCCCCCCTCCTACACCCACCCTCCGCTCTCGTTTAATTCAACCCCCCAGGGTCTGCTGCAATACTTCCGATTGGTGGAGGGCTGTATCGATCTCATATCCACCCACCAGCGCCAGCACAACATCTCCTACAGCTGGGTCATCCGCACGCGAGTCGACGGCTACTGGACCGCGCCCCCTCCCCTTCTCACCGCTCTCCACCCCTCCGCATACACCATCCCCTTTGGGTTCGACTGGGGTGGCCTTAACGACCGCCTCGGGATTGGCTCCTGGGCGGCCTCCAAAGTGGCTCTCAGGCGGTTATCCGCGTTACAAGACCTGTTCAGCGCAGGGTATAGGGCGCTGACGTCGGAGAAGGCGTTTCGCGCGCAGATGGAGGTTGGGGGGGTGGAGGTGGCACGGAAGCATTTCCACTTCTGTGTGGTGACTCGGAGGCGGTCGAGGGGAGGGGATGGGTGTGCGGCTATGATGTTCTCAACTGCCACATACGGACCGCTGAATGGCGCGAAGTGCCGGCCCTGCTCCTCTCCGTGTGCTGCTGATGAGAAGGTGAGTGGGAAGTTTGAGGGCTGGGACGTTGGGGGGGTGGAGGACGCGTTTTGGGCTCAGATGGACGTTAGGGGGTGGAGGTGGCGCGGAAGCATTTCCACTTCTGTGTGGTGACGCGGAGGTGGTCGAGGGGAGGGGATGGGTGTGCGGCCATGGTGTTCTCAACAGCGACCTATGGGCAGCTGAACGGCGCCAAGTGCCGCCCCTGTTCGTTCCCTTGTGCTGCTGATGATCAGGTGAGTGGTGAGAAGAGGGGAAGGGTGGTGGGCAGCAGCAGGGCAGGCGCGCATGAGTGAGAGGAAAAAGTGGGGGGAGAATGGGTGTGCTGCGATGATGTTTACGATGGGTGTGCTGCGATGATGTTTACGATGGGTGTGCTGCGATGATGTTTACGATGGGTGTGCTGCGATGATGTTTACGATGGGTGTGCTGCAATGATGTTTACGATGGGTGTGCTGCGATGATGTTTACGATGGGTGTGCTGCGATGATGTTTACGATGGCCACTTACGGGCCATTGAATGGTGCCAATTGCCACACCCCTGCTCCTCCCCGTTCGCTGCTGATGATCTGGTGAGTGGGGTGGAGCATCGGAGGCAGCCACTTTCACAGTCGACTCAACATCCACCCACCCACCGCAACCCCTTCCCCAACAGGCGGCATCTCTGATCAGCGCCATGCACGCTGCGAGCAGCATGTACCGCTTTTTGAGGGGCGCCTCAAAATTTGGCATAGTCACACTAGAACCGACTCAATCTCGACTCCACCCACTGCTACCCCTATTCCCCAACAGGCGGCTGCCGTGATCAACACAGTGCGCGCGGCGGGCGGCATGTACCGCCACCCGTTGCCGCCCGGGCTGCAGCTGTGCGACGCGAAGCAGGCGTGGGAGGGCGGTTGGGAGCGGCAGTTTGACCGGGACGTGGAGAAGCAGCGCGGAGGGAAAACGCTCAGCTGGCAGCGCCGCAACATTGCCCGGGTTGCTGCTAGCCTCGCACACTGCACGGAGCAGTTTGAGAAGGTAAACTAGCTTCTGTGAATACTTCAGAAGCAAGCGTGGGAGGGCGCGTGAGAGCGGCAGTTCGACCGGGACGTGGAGAAACAGCACGGAGGGAAGACGCTCAGCTGGCAGCGCCGCAACATCACCCGTTTTGCTGCCAGCCTCACACACTGCACTGAGCAGTTTGAAAAGGTGCGGTGCACGGACCACTTTGAAAAGGTGTGGTGCACGGACCACTTTGAAAAGGTGTGGTGCACGGACCACTTTGAAAAGGTGTGGTGCACGGACCACTTTGAAAAGGTGTGGTGCACGGACCACTTTGAAAAGGTGTGGTGCACGGACCACTTTGAAAAGGTGCGGTGCACGGACCACTTTGAAAAGGTGTGGTGCGTGTTTTCCTCTGATTCTGAGATTTCTCAGAGGTACTGTGCGAGCTGCAAGCGTGGCAGCTGTGGCAGTTTAGGGTAGGCTTGGGGTGGGAGCTTTGGACTTTGGGGAAAAACCCCTTTGAACTTGTGGTCGTAACAATGCCAAGCTGATGTCTGTGTGCATGTGTCAGCTTCAAGCACTCGTCAGGGCAATTTTATGCCTTGCCATCCCCATGCACCATCACCCCATGACATCCCAATGCCAGCTCAAGGCCGTGAGTGTGACATGGGACTCACCTCCCCCGGTGGCGGTGTGCATCCGGGCGCAACTGGGGGAGGTAGAGCTGATGGGCAGCAAGACCGGCGAGTTCAACACCTTCACTTCGTTGCTCAATAGCAAGAGGTGCGGGATCCACTGGGGTGCAGGGTCAACTGGGGGAGGGTGAGGAATGAACTGGGGGAGGGTGAGGAATGAACTGGGGGAGGGTGAGGAATGAACTGGGGGAGGGTGAGGAATGAACTGGGGGAGGGTGAGGAATGAACTGGGGGAGGGTGAGGAATGAACTGGGGGAGGGTGAGGAATGAACTGGGGGAGGGTGAGGAATGAACTGGGGGAGGGTGAGGAATGAACTGGGGGAGGGTGAGGAATGAACTGGGGGAGGGTGAGGAATGAACTGGGGGAGGGTGAGGAATGAACTGGGGGAGGGTGAGGAATGAACTGGGGGAGGGTGAGGAATGAACTGGGGGAGGGTGAGGAATGAACTGGGGGAGGGTGAGGAATGAACTGGGGGAGGGTGAGGAATGAACTGGGGGAGGGTGAGGAATGAACTGGGGGAGGGTGAGGAATGAACTGGGGGAGGGTGAGGAATGAACTGGGGGAGGGTGAGGAATGAACTGGGGGAGGGTGAGGAATGAACTGGGGGAGGGTGAGGAATGAACTGGGGGAGGGTGAGGAATGAACTGGGGGAGGGTGAGGAATGAACTGGGGGAGGGTGAGGAATGAACTGGGGGAGGGTGAGGAATGAACTGGGGGAGGGTGAGGAATGAACTGGGGGAGGGTGAGGAATGAACTGGGGGAGGGTGAGGAATGAACTGGGGGAGGGTGAGGAATGAACTGGGGGAGGGTGAGGAATGAACTGGGGGAGGGTGAGGAATGAACTGGGGGAGGGTGAGGAATGAACTGGGGGAGGGTGAGGAATGAACTGGGGGAGGGTGAGGAATGAACTGGGGGAGGGTGAGGAATGAACTGGGGGAGGGTGAGGAATGAACTGGGGGAGGGTGAGGAATGAACTGGGGGAGGGTGAGGAATGAACTGGGGGAGGGTGAGGAATGAACTGGGGGAGGGTGAGGAATGAACTGGGGGAGGGTGAGGAATGAACTGGGGGAGGGTGAGGAATGAACTGGGGGAGGGTGAGGAATGAACTGGGGGAGGGTGAGGAATGAACTGGGGGAGGGTGAGGAATGAACTGGGGGAGGGTGAGGAATGAACTGGGGGAGGGTGAGGAATGAACTGGGGGAGGGTGAGGAATGAACTGGGGGAGGGTGAGGAATGAACTGGGGGAGGGTGAGGAATGAACTGGGGGAGGGTGAGGAATGAACTGGGGGAGGGTGAGGAATGAACTGGGGGAGGGTGAGGAATGAACTGGGGGAGGGTGAGGAATGAACTGGGGGAGGGTGAGGAATGAACTGGGGGAGGGTGAGGAATGAACTGGGGGAGGGTGAGGAATGAACTGGGGGAGGGTGAGGAATGAACTGGGGGAGGGTGAGGAATGAACTGGGGGAGGGTGAGGAATGAACTGGGGGAGGGTGAGGAATGAACTGGGGGAGGGTGAGGAATGAACTGGGGGAGGGTGAGGAATGAACTGGGGGAGGGTGAGGAATGAACTGGGGGAGGGTGAGGAATGAACTGGGGGAGGGTGAGGAATGAACTGGGGGAGGGTGAGGAATGAACTGGGGGAGGGTGAGGAATGAACTGGGGGAGGGTGAGGAATGAACTGGGGGAGGGTGAGGAATGAACTGGGGGAGGGTGAGGAATGAACTGGGGGAGGGTGAGGAATGAACTGGGGGAGGGTGAGGAATGAACTGGGGGAGGGTGAGGAATGAACTGGGGGAGGGTGAGGAATGAACTGGGGGAGGGTGAGGAATGAACTGGGGGAGGGTGAGGAATGAACTGGGGGAGGGTGAGGAATGAACTGGGGGAGGGTGAGGAATGAACTGGGGGAGGGTGAGGAATGAACTGGGGGAGGGTGAGGAATGAACTGGGGGAGGGTGAGGAATGAACTGGGGGAGGGTGAGGAATGAACTGGGGGAGGGTGAGGAATGAACTGGGGGAGGGTGAGGAATGAACTGGGGGAGGGTGAGAGCTGGTTCAACGTGAGAAGCACTTTTCACTGCTCTTCTCAGCAGCAAGAGATGAGGAGAGGCCCATCATTCTGCTCTGCTTACCCAACTGTGTCTAGTCTGATGCAACTGAAGCCTGCGATTTGTAAAACCTCCAATCTGCACATGCATGTCTGTCGTGTGTGGTGTGTGCGGCGTGTGTCGTGTGTCGTGTGTGTGTCGTGTGTCGTGTGTGTTGCATATGCCATTGGAATGGAGCAGTACGTTCATATCGGTGACAAACAGCAAGGCCAGCCAGAGCTGGGAGCGCCACCTCTTCAGGCGCTATGGCAAGGTGCGCGTGGGATTCAGGAATGCCGAGTGGCTGGCGTCCCCTCAATCCGCCAATGCAAGTGCGACAACGACCCGACCTTTCAGTGCTGTCAGGGTGAGTGTTATGCAGGTTTGTTACATTTCAGTCTTGTTTAGTGCACTTTTCTGTTTCCATTTGTATAAATGTGTTCATGTGTGCCCTTGAATTGCAGGTTGAGATGAGAGTTATGAAGGAATATTCCTCTCCGACTTGGTTGTCCATCCTGGGCAGTATCAAGACGTGTCAGCTGCTCATCGGGTTTACAGAGAGGGAGTGAAAGCGCTTCACACGAGAAAGGGTTACCTCGTTACTGGCATGGTCACATTATTTCCTGTTAGACTCGTGCAAACGGACAGTGTCCTTGCAGGGAGAGCGATGCACTTATTATTCTTTACGGCATTGTGTTAAAAACTCTCTGTATACTTTTGTAAATAGTCGATAAACTTGATTCATTCCGCGGGTCTCCCACACTCGAGGGTTGGCCCCAGAATCTCTTCTCCAAAAAGTTGTCACGCCTCGCGCAGTGTTCCTTGTTAGGCTTGTGCTAGGAAGTGCTTAGTACGATTTTAGTGGTAGATTAGTGGTCCCTAAGGACCTTAGGTTTTAGGAACCACCTCAAAAGGGATATTTCGCCGCATAGCTCCGGCTGCGCCAGTTTTCCTGTATATGGGTGTCCGTCCGACCATTACTCAGCGTAGTGTCTCGAATTAACTTCTGAGCCGAGTCGACTGAAACGTTCTTTCAATAAGGAGTTCGTCTCCATGGGGGCATTATCCGAGTTCGGGGGGGGCGGCGGAGCCGCTTCCGCGGACTCTTCCGCCATCGGCGGAAAGAAGCCCACGCCGGGGCGCGGAGGAGTCGTTCTTTCCGCGTCCCCGGAAGAATCCCGCGTGCGCGCGATCTCCGAGATCGTGCGGGCGATGATCGACGGCGTGCGCGCGGGCCGCGACGTCAATCTGAACGCGATCAAATCCGACGCGTCGCGAAAGCACGGGTTGTCGCGCGCGCCGAAGCTCGTCGAAATCATCGCCGCGGTTCCCGAGGAGCACCGCGACGCGCTGATCCCAAGGCTCCGCGCGAAGCCCGTTCGTACTGCGTCGGGAATCGCGGTCGTCGCAGTGATGTCGAAACCGCATAGATGCCCGCATATAGCGACGACAGGGAACATCTGCGTGTACTGCCCTGGCGGGCCCGATTCCGATTTCGAGTATTCGACGCAGTCTTATACCGGGTATGAGCCGACTAGTATGCGCGCGATTCGGGCGAGGTATCATCCGTACGTGCAGGCGCGCGGTCGTGTCGACCAACTGCGGCGACTCGGACACAGTGTGGATAAGGTACGGCCAGCCACGAGTGTTTAGCTAAGTACCACCACGCACTGTCCAATCCTTGCACTCCAGTCCTCTCTATAAAATAATCCGTTCGCCACAATCACGCCATCGTTTCCACCACCACCACAATCACACTCCGCCACATCAGGTTGAGTACATTTTAATGGGCGGCACATTCATGTCGCTGCCAGCGGACTATCGCGACTTCTTCGTGCGCAATCTGCACGACGCGCTCTCGGGCTGCTCCTCCGCGTCTGTAGCCGAGGCCGTGCAGTACGCGGAGCATGCCGCCACACGCTGCATCGGCCTCACCATCGAAACGTGAGAGCACCCAGCCAGCCAACCAACCAGCCAACTCATGTTTTGGTCATCTTAAAGAAATATGCCAAGCACACCGCCGCGCAATGCATCGGCTTCACAATCAAGATGTGAGCTCATATCAAGAATTTAGATGCCAGCCAGCCAGCCAGCCAGCCAGCCAGCCAGCCAGCCAGCCAGCCAAATGTAAACGCCCAAACCTTGAACGGTCACTCCAGCTCTCCAACGTTCAACCCACTCTTTCCCCTCCCATCTCTCCTCCAGCCGTCCAGACTACTGCCTGGGGCCGCACCTGCGGCAGATGCTGGCATACGGGTGCACACGGCTGGAGATCGGAGTGCAGAGCACGTATGAGGACGTGGCCAGAGACACCAACCGCGGCCACACCGTTGCAGCCGTCGCCGACTGCTTCTGCCTCGCTAAGGATGCGGGCTTTAAGGTGCTTGTTGTGTGCGTGCTGGCTTTAAGGTGTGTGGTCTGCGGGCTTTAAGGTGCTTGTTGCATGCTGTGTGCTGGTGATCATGCTGGGTTGCCTCTTTGCCCTCAACTCACGCAACCTCCCACTATTCATGCCTCCTTTCCTCCATCCGTCTCCACATGATGCCAGACTAACCTGATGTGGGCGTGGAGAGGGACATGGAGGCATGTTCCTTATATCTCGTGCTTCCTTCATGTGTCCCTTATTCATACCCCATATCCCTCTCTTTCCATCCGTGTCCCCCCCTTCCTTCTCAGGTGGGGTGGTGGCGCAAGTGATGCTCTCCCATGGCCTCTTAAACACCTCATCCTACTCTCCCCCTTCTTCCCTTTTCTTCCTCTCCCAGGTGGTGGCGCACATGATGCCGGACCTACCCAACGTGGGCATGGAGAGGGACATGGAGTCATTCAGAGAGTTCTTGCCTCATGCTTCATGTCCCTCTATACCAAATGCCTCCATCCCTTCACCACTCCCTCCCCCCCTCCCTCCCCCTCCCAGGTGGTGGCGCACATGATGCCGGACCTCCCCAACGTGGGCATGGAGAGGGACATGGAGTCATTCCGAGAGTTCTTTCACAGCCCTGCCTTCCGCACGGACGGGCTCAAGCTCTACCCCACGCTTGTCATCCGTGGCACTGGGCTCTACGAGCTCTGGAAGACCGGCAGGTGAGGGGGGCGGCAGGGTTGGGTAGGTGGGGGGTTGGGCACGTGAGCTGCTGGTAACCGGTCGTCTTCTGGGCTCAAGCTCTACCTCACGCTTGTCATCCGCGGCACTGGGCTCTACGAGCTATGGAAGACCGGCAGGTGGGTAAGGGAGGGGGGCATGGAGGTGGGGTTTACCATAGCCACCACCTCCGCACGGATGGGCTCAAGTTCTACCTCACGCTCGTCATCCGCGGCGCAGGGCTGTACGAGGGGGGTGAGGGGTGTTGTGGGCGGGTGGGTGGCCAAGTGACTGTGTGTTGCACTGAACAATCCTCTCTTTCACCAAATCATGTGCGTGCCCTGCTGCCTCCTCCTCCTTCCCGCTTCCCCTGTTCCCTCTTATCCCCCTTACCGCATCCCCTCCCTTCACACGTCATCTCCTTCCTGCCCTCGTCCCCCCTGACTTCTTCTTCCAGGTATCGCAACTATCCGCCAGAAAAATTGATCGATCTAGTAGCGCGCATCCTCTCCCTGGTCTCCCCTGGACGCGTGTCTACCACATCATGCGCGACTCCTGCTGCCTCTTCTCTTCCTCGTCTTCCCGCCCTCCTCTCCCCTCCTCTCCTTCCCCACAGGTACCTCAACTACCCGCCAGAAAAAATATTCAACCTAGTGGGGGAGGAGAGGAGGGGAGAGGAGGGCGGGGTACACCCGCGCGCATCCTGGCCCTGGTGCCCCCCTGGACGCGGGTCTACCGCGTCATGCGCGACATCCCGCTGCCTCGCCCTCTTGACTCCCTGCCCCGCCCTACCCCTCCCCCCTCCTCCTCCCCAGGTACCGTAACTACCCCCCCGAAAAGCTCATTGATCTAGTAGCGCGCATCCTGGCCCTGGTGCCCCCCTGGACACGCGTCTACCGCATCATGCGTGACATCCCGCTGCCACTTGTCACGTCGGGAGTGGACAAGGGCAACCTGCGCGAGCTGGCGCTGGCGCGCATGACAGAGCTGGGGCTGCGGTGCCGGGATGTGCGCACGCGGGAGGCGGGCATTCAGGACATTCACCACGCCGTGAGACCACACGATGTGCAGCTGGTGCGGCGCGACTATGCTGCCAACGATGGCTGGGAGACGTTTCTTTCCTATGAAGATGTTACCCAGGTGAGACCCCCCCAAAAAAGCAAGGTGGTTAGCATGTGGTAACCAGGTGATAGGGAGGCAGTAACTTATGTGGCGCTGGCGCGCATGGCAGAGCTGGTGCTGCAGTGCTGGGATTTGCGCACGCGGGAGGCGGGCATTCAGGATATTCACCATGCTGTGAGGCCGCATGACGTGCAGCTGGTGCAGCTGGTGCGGCGCGACTATGCGGCTAATGGTGGGTGGGAGACGTTCCTTTCCTACCAATATGTGACTCAGATGAGAGTAAGGTGTTTCTAGGTGGTTGCGATGTGGTAACCAGGTGAGAGAGAGGTTGCAACCTGATGTTCCATAATTCGTCTGTTTTCCATGCGCCTCAAAACTCCCCTTGTGCCCCTCCCTCCACCTTGCGCCCCTCTTTGCTTCATCCCGGCAGGATATTCTTGTGGGGTTGCTGCGGCTGAGGCGGTGTGGGGCGCACGTGACGTGCCCAGAGCTGAAGGGGCGGTGCTCCATTGTGCGGGAGCTGCATGTGTATGGCACTGCTGTGCCTGTGCACACGCGCGACACTGACAAGCTGCAACACCAGGCGAGTGGGAGTTGATTCAATAGTACGGGGCATGTGTGGCATACTGGTATGTGTGGCTAGAGCTGCATGTGTATGGGACTACTGTGCCCCTGCACACACGTGACACTGACAAGCTGCAGCACCAGGTGAATCAGCTATGTTGGAGTTACCTTTGAGCATTCGCAAAAGCGCATTCATAGTGCAGGAGCTGCATGTGTATGGCACTGCTGTGCATGTGCACACCTGCGACACTGACACGCTACAACACCAGGCAAGTGGGTAGGATGAGGCACATGGTAGCACCGTGCTAGTGGGTAGGTACAGTGCTGCACAGTGGTTCATCCTTGCGGTGGTCACGGTTGTCATTTTACCTTTCAAGCAATAAACATGCTTCTTCTGGTCCTGAAATCTCCCCTTTTGGGTTGATTTGGATTGGCTGCGGTGCACTGCGGTACTTTGTGGTTGCAGGGGTACGGCACGCTGCTGATGGAGGAGGCGGAGCGCATTGCACGGTGGGAGCATGGTTCGAGCAAGCTGGCAGTGATATCGGGCATAGGAACGCGCCACTACTACAGGAAGCTAGGTTATGAGCTCGAGGGTCCCTACATGGTCAAAGCTCTGCCTCGTGCTGTCAGGGGTAGGTGTAGGAAGGGCAGCAAAAGGCGATCAAATCAGGTGGTACACTGACGTGACATTGTTTTCAACTGCAAGCGCAGCACACCTATTAAAAATATCACTATACACTGGATCAATAATTTTACACGTAGCGACAGCAGCACCGTGTCGTGTCCTTACAGCTACTCTGCCATTACGGTTAGTTGATCCCATCCTATGTCATCCCATAACCATATTTCAACGTTACTATCGTACCATCTCCCATATCAGCCCACAGCTCGTCCTCGTAGTGCATCCCTTCCACATCCCAACCGGCAGATTCTCGAGCGACTTCAAGTCATGCTTCCTCTGCACCCCTTCTACACTTGATGCTACCTTAACCGCGAGGCCAACTTACACCCACTTCTGCCATAAATGCCAAGCAAGGGCACGTGCATGTGTGCTGCAAGCCGGAGTACGGAGTACAAGACTAGTTTACAGCATATGAGCTGGTGATATCATAATGTTCAATTTAAAAGAAGTACAAAAGAGTAAAAAGTGAACCCTTGTGATTTGCAATCATTTGGCCGTTTGCCAATCGCTCATTGTTGCCCCATGTGTACAGTCATAAACCTGACAATCGTATCAAATCCATGCCTCTGACACGCGGAGCCGTTGACATTGTGGCGGTGGCGAGGTTACAGTTGAGGCGAGGTGGCTTGTGCCGGACAGTTACATTACTCTCGATGCAGTTTTTTCAAGCCCAGTTGTTTTCCGGTCAACTCCTCCGGGGTCCCCGCCTGTAAGTATCACGGGGAATTTGGGACCTTGTTAGGCGAAACTGTTTTTTTAGGTGGCCCGTACTGTCTGGTTTGTGGAGCAAGGAAATTGTGTGCGATCTTGTTCGTAATTTTGACACCAACTGCTTATGCGTGTCGATCCGAGTCGGCCCACTTCTTGGTGTCAATCACTGTAGCAGCGGGGTCAATTCGAGTCGCGCCGATGGAAATGTGCGACGAAGCCTCATTGGTGGGACACGAAATATCTGTTATTGTGCGTTTATATGAACGAGCTTAACTGTCAGTGCAACCCCACAGTACAACCCAGCACCAACGTGTTGGGTGGGAATTTGTGGACAATCGCAGAGGCAGGTTTTGCAGATTTTTTATTGAGTGAGAGCAAATCGTGAGAGGTATCAATGCGATGGATTTGGTTGGATGGTGTGCGTTGCGACTCTAGGCGAGCGGGCTATCCGATTAATTTGACAGGCTGACATTGAGCGATTTTTTGACACCAACCAACAATGTATGCTCGTGTCAAAATCCCAAAATGACACTGGTGTCAAAACTACGAACAAGCCCTGAGAGGGTCTCGTTCTGTCGGTCACACGTGAAGGGCCCTCGTGTGGTTCAAACTGCCCGCGCCAATTTCACACCCCCTCTGTTTTTCCTTAAAACCCTCTTCACCTTTTCTGACTAAAGGGACCAGACTTCCAGGAACTAGAGGCTATCCGTGGCATCGTTAAGTGTCGATGTTGTAAAACTCCTCTGTGTGACCCCAGCGAACAGACTGGATCTTCCGCTGCGATCATGTTTTTGTTTCCCGCTGAATTGCACGCAAAGTCTCAAACATTTCTATCCTTAAAACCAGCATGGTTTAACCTTGATTTCGGGTAAACCAGGAAAGTATGCCCAGGGGTGTGAAATTGTAGTGAATTTAGCGCGGACCATGTCAAGTGTGCACTGCTGCAAGCCTCCCACAACAGCCATGTGTCCGGTGGGCCTTGGGAGGAGAGCTTGGGGGCGGCGAGTGGGGAGAGAAGGGGGAGCCCGTCGAAATGTGACGTCATCTGTAACTTTTGCGCATTCCGGGTTTTCCTTCCATACAGTATTTCTACGTTCCATATCCTAATGCTCCAATCAGTCTTTCGAAGCTGTAACTCCTTTCTCAAATGTGATGATTGTCTCTATCAAAAGTAAGGTTATTTGCTCGAAAATGGTTTTGCTGGTGTCGAAGTGCTGCCCTTCTGGACCTGCCACAGCAATGCCCACGTGTAATTGGCAGCAGGATCCAGTTGTATGCCATGCATGCGTGGCACGTGTGGCTCGCTCACCATTCGTGAGTCGTGTGAGCCTTGGCTTCGTACGAACTGCACCTTGCTTCGTCGTCGTCTTTGAGGGGAATGGTCCGTCCGTGCGGGCGATTGCCCCCTTGGAGCAAGCGTGCAGTGCGGCTCCAGCCAGTTCAGTTTGGTTGGCAGCTTGCTTCCCTGCAAAGCGTACGGTGCGGGTTGTGTAGTGCGCACCACACAACCCGCACTGCCCGCATTTTCAACTGTGTGCAGGCACCCACTACTGTACACCTATCTTCTCTCCCACGTTGCACCCCACCCCACTCCACCTTCCCCTTCAACCCTCCATTACACCCTCTCCGCGTTGCTTGGGGGGACCACAAGCACAGCAGAACAAACCAGCTGGGGCCGGACCACACGGTTACATGCCAGATGGGGTGAAAACCCTCCCCCACTTCATTCGCCTTTTCGCCACGTCCACCTCCATCTGCACGAGTGCCTGCGATCAAATTCGCATGCGCTTGGTTCGACTTCCACCAAGTTGCGCATGTCGTCATTGTCCTTTGCGCTGCGGTGGAGCCTCCGAGCGACAAAGTCTGAATCCGCCCTGAAAATCCGGGGTGGTTTGGCTGGCGCGCGCAGCCCAATCTGCGCAAAGATGTCACGGAAGGGTGACGGGACGGGACGGGAGGCAAATGAACAGCACCTGGCGGATAAGGATTGGATCTCCCCTCCCCTTCTCGCGCCCGAACCCCCACCCACCCTCTGTTTCAGATTCGCCGCTGAATGCATGCATTCACCAGCAAGCCGAGGTGCCCCCTTCCCCTCCCTGACCGTCACCACCACCTCGCTGCCATCCAAACCGAACCATTTTCAACCAAACCAACCAAACCTCAAATAGGGAAGCTCTTCCCACTGATTTCCTGTCCACTACTCCTTTCTCTCCTGCCAATCATCGTCTTATGCACTTCGCTTCTTGTGCCTCCTGCCATTCTTAGTTCCTGGCATTACTTCACCTCCCCTTCCGCAATATCGTCTAGCGTTCCGACTAGTTTCCATACATCTTTTGGCGTTTTGTAGCTTCTTAGGGTTCGACCAATGGATCTGGCCACGAGTTATGCGGACGACGTGGAGGAGGATTCTAAGCAGTTTCAGCGGGACAACAATCGTCTGATTCCGTCGAATCGTGGCACGACGGCGCAACGCTTGCCGACGTGGAAGGAGCGGGAGAATAACAAACGGAGGGAGAGGAGACGACGCGCCATAGCAGCCAAGATCTTCACCGGCCTGCGCACCTACGGAAACTACGATCTCCCGAAACATTGCGACAACAACGAGGTGCTCAAGGCAGTGTGCAAAGAGGCCGGCTGGATTGTCGAGGAGGACGGCACGACATACCGAAAGGTACACCCTGATCCGCGCCGCGCCGACGCGCACATCGTTTTCCTTGTGTCTCTTTTCCACGTTCCAAATCTGAACGATGTGCCTTCTAATAATATGTCTGTTTACGTTTACGTTCCTCTGTCATTCTTTGCCGGCTTCTCATTTTTTATTCGTTTTTTTTTTTTTTGCTGTATATGTTCGTTTCCGCGTTTCAGGGTCAGCCTCGACCCCGGCAGCCCGAGCCGGCAGCAGGAATCGACTCCGCGTATCCTACGGACAGCGCCGTGCAACCCTACCCATCGTCCAATGTCAACACCCTCGATAGTACGGACTACGACCATTCAGCGTCTCTTGCTGGAAGCAGCGACCACGGCCGCGGCCCCGTCAATGGCGTTGGCACGATGCACGGGCGGCACGCCGGACTCGCCGCCGTTGGCGCCGCAGCCGCCGCTCCGATGGTTGATAATAGACCTGCGCCCGGAGGAGGAAGCGCGAGTGGAACAACCCTGACTGGGGGAACTGCGCAGGCTGGCGGAACGGCGGCTCCGCCGGCAGCAGAGCTGCTGAAGCTCATGTCCGCGCTCGCCGCTTTCCCCGCGGCGGCAGCGCAGCTGGGCGCAGCGCTGAACTCCTCCGCCGCGTCGCTCGCGGCCGTTGCGTCGTCGCTCGGCCTGCCTCCGTCATTCGCCGCGTCATCGGACGTGCAGCAGGTGCTGATGCTACTCTCTAAAGGAGGTTCTAATAACGGGGATCAATCGCTGCCAGTTAATCGAACGCCCGCTCCCGCTTCTTCCGCTGTGCCGTCGGATATCTACTCTCTGCTGCAGTCATCTCGTAGCACCGCCGCACCCTCTTCGGCAGTCCCAAGACCGATGGCTCCTGTCCCAGCAGCCAGTCCCGTGGTTCCGCTGCATCCGCTGCAGCAACAGCAACAGCAGCAGCCACAATATCAGCAGCAGCAGCAGCAGCAACTTCAGCAACAACTGCTTTTCTCTCATCAACATCAGCAGCAGAAGCAGCATCAGCAGCAGAATCAGCACCAACAGCAGCAGTTGCTGCTCGGCCTGCTGCAAGGCGCGTCCAACGTCGTCCAGTCGTCCGCATCTTCCTCTCTCCCTCCCCCCGCTGCTCCTCCCCCCGACCGTTCCATGCCTGCTCCTTCCCGGAGTGGCAACTTCAGCAGCGGCGGCCCGCACAACAGCATCAGCCCTCAGTGCGGAAGTGCGTCACACGGCGGAGCGCTAGGACCTCAACGAACGGTGGAGTTTAAATCCGCGGGAGGGAAGGACAACAAGTGGGCGGCTGGTGTGCGGCGCATGGCGACGAGCTGGGATGTAGAGGCGCCCATGAAGCCTCCCCCTGTGATGCGCTCAGATGATCTCCAGCTCAGCCTTGGCCTCGGGTAATGCCTGTAGTAAGGCTCCGGGTATCTTGGCTGTATCATCCAACTTGAAGGCATAGGATGGGATATTGCTTTGCTCAAAGGATCATCCCAGTATGGCCTTCTGGATATGCACCAGCTCGCCAAGGACCGTCACATAGCACTGAATGTGCAGTGCATCCAGTGAATATTATCGCAAGCTGAGACCGCAGGTTGTTGTTCAGTCCTTGGGAATGGAGAACGCCAAGTGGTACAGTATGCTGGTGTTTGCTGCACTGCTGCAAGCATCTGGGATCCTGTTGTAAGTCTCTGCATAAGAGCAGGGCTTGGCGTTAACTATCTCGTTGTGGTGCAGATGCGACTTCCATGATTGGCGCTGGAAACCTGAAGAGTGGTTTCTTTCTGGGTGTTTAAGGGTACATTCCTGTGTGGACACAAATGTCTCAATCCCATCACAAAACCTATGTATCGTTCTGCACCGCATTAAACCTAAGAGACAAACATTTGCACCGCACTGTATCTCTTCGTTTGAGACACGATGATTTTGTGACGCGCTTCAGGAATGTACCCTAAGTTTCATTGTTGAGAGATACTTTTGGTATTTGTGCTATAACTGCTGATGTGCTGTAAACCATTCTAGGTCAATTTGAATAAATGTGTCTTATTTTAAGCGATTCAAACATTGTGCAACAGAGTTACTGTATTGTTGTAAGCTAGCAGCTTCTATCCACAGGGTACAGTATTGTTGACAACCATAATCTGTTGCTTGCATATTCATTTGCAGTCACATTTTACCTGCGAAATCACGTTCCACGAACCATTGGCGGGCTAGGCTGACTTTCCCGCCAACTCGGAGGTCACTTACTGCTTCACCCTGACGCTTTTCCTCGCCTTTGGGCTCGCAAGCGAATACTCCCTGTCACCGCACCCCGCCCTACACCACCTCACGCCATCCTCTTGCGGTATTCTGTCGACGCTGACGCTGCAGCTAAACGTATATCGAGCAGCTTTTGAAATTTCAAACTCGCATTTTGTATGTGCTTGCATTTTGTATTCAGGGCCATGCCCATGCGCTTCGGGCTCACATGCTGAAGCTTGTTGCACTACGACTTATAACGTGAAAGAGATAGCTGCGCCTTTTTGTTTGTGCAAGCCATCCCAGTCTGTCATTCAACAATCGACCACTTTAGGGCATATCTTTCGCTTGTACAGTCCCAGTTGTCATCTAATTATCGACCATTTGGAGACTCCCGTGTTCCTTGTCCCGAAACTGGAATTATTGCATGGCGAGCTTCGGGACTCCCGAGGCTTTCCAAGCCATGCGAGTGGTTCTAGGCACCGAGCCGTCCGAGATGTCTCTCTGCAGAGCGCTCTATCTCGCGCGAGGCGACGTCGCGAAGGCGATTAACTACCACTTAGACCTAGTTCGTGTCGAAAAGTTCACACTCGAGCAGTTAGCTTCGTCGCGTCATCCGCTCCCTCTCGCCTCCCCTCCGACGAAAACGCGCGGAGAGCTATTAGCGCTTCCTCCACCCCATCCACCCCCCGTTTCCGCCACCTCTCCGCCCGCCTCCCCGCATCCCCCTTATGTAGCGGCTGCTTCTGTTGCAGAGAATACGATCGGAGAGAATAATGCGCCGGGGGATGCGGGAGCGGAAATGGGGAAAGCCGCGATGCTGGAAACGGGCACAGCCGTTAGTCATGCGGGCTCTCTCACTGGCGGAGACTGCACATCGCATTCCCCGTGCGAAGCGCCGTCGTCACCAAATGCCGGCGCTTTACCGTCAGAAGCGTTGAGCCTTTCCCCCGACAGCATCCGCGATCCCGCGCGTCCCGAGGCGGAGAACCATTTCGCTCAGGGGAAAGTTGTGATGGGCGCAGCCCGGTCGATGGGCGCACCTTGCGACGCAGTTTCCCCCGACGTTGCGCCAACCGATGGCGCAGTTCCCCCCACGTCGAGCATTTCCCCGGACAGCATTAATGAGCCCGTTTGCCCGGACGCAGATCGTGGCTCTGAGCGGGACGGTGAGATTGGCGGAGAATTCGCAGTGCGCTCTCCTTGCGCTGCAGTTTCCCCGGACGAGGAGCCACGCGCTGACTCCGCCGAGCCGCCTGCTGTCCCCGCTTCTCCAGACTCGATGGATGTGCCTGATTCAGTGCCGCCCGTATCCGCGGTGCTATCTTCATCGGCAGTGCTGCCGACTTTTACAGAGTCACCTGTACCTACGGTTCAACCCGTTTCTGCAGTTCCTCCCGTGTCTACAGTTGTTCCCGAATCTACTGTTCCTCCCGTATCTACTGTTCCTCCCGTATCTACTGTTCCTCCCGTATCTATTGTTCCTCCCGTATCTACTGTTCCTCCCGTATCTACTGTTCCTCCCGTATCTACTGTTCCTTCGGTATCTACAATTCCTCCCGTATCTACAGCTCCTCCTGTGGCCACTGCAATCCCTCCTCTATCTGAGGCCCCCCGTCAGCAACCAATCCCGTCTGACCCCCTACGGCATCCGAAGCTGATGAAGCATTGGAGAGAAGAGAAGGCGGAAGCTTCGCGTTGGTGGCTCTTGGGAGAGCGCCACGTGTCCTGCGTGTCGCTGACACGTGGCGCCAAGCTGGAAGCGTATGACCCAGTGGAGTTTCACTTCCCGAAAGGCGGAAGGGAAGGCGGAAAGAAAGGCGGAAAGGAGGGCGGAAGACCGCGCGGAAGGCCGCCCAAGTGGGCAGGCAAGGGGAAGTGGGGAAAGGCGTCGTCTCACGGATCGTCCTCTGGAAGCGCCATTGTCCGCTTTGGAACCACCAGAGGAGGGGAGGTATGCCCTTCCGTCAGTACACTTCCTTGTCGGTTTCCTTCACTCACCCCTTCTCTCCCTCGCCCCCACTCTCCCTCATTCCCTCTCACCCGCTCTCCCTCCCCTCTCTTCCGTCCCTCTTTCCCTGTCCTCCGTTACCCCTTTCGCCACCCCTTCGCACGGCCGCCAGGTCGGATCACTCCCACGGGAGTGGGCGGCGGCGCTGATACCACTGCAGGCGGAGGGGAAGGTGAAGCTGCGCGGCTATGTGCTCTCCGCCCCGCCATGTCTGGACATGTTCTCGGGCATCGAGCTCGCCATCAGGTGCGCCCTGATCTCTATTCACTCGGGCCCAGTCCATTGGTCTGATCCTCGAGTCATATACGGGCCTGGCCCATTGGTCTGATCCTCGAGTCATATACTGGCCCGGTCCATTGGTCTTTTGCCACCCCGCCATGCCTGGACATGTTCTCTGGCATCGAGCTTGCCATCAGGTGCGCCCTGATCGTCGAGTCATGTGTGGGTTCACTGGAAACACACATGCACACCCTTTGAAACTGCCCTTTTTCCTGCCTCGGCATGTTCTCTGGCATCGAGCTCACCGTCAGGTGCGTTATGCAACCACAGGTGCGCTCAGACCTTTCATCGATGCACGAACGAATCAAGGAAGATAATGTAAAGAGCACTATCCCCCACATTTTGCAAAAGAAGAAAAGAGAAGATCCCTTGCGTGCGCTCGCTGCTCCTTTCTGTATGTTCCCTGGCAGGGTGTACGTGCAGCAATGCTGCTTTCAGAAGCTCACTCGAGTGAAAGAGCGGGCCGCTGAGGTGGTGCATGTGAGCACAGCCGCGCACATCACCACCCTGGTGCTCACTGCTCACTGCTCGCTGCTTGTTGCTCAATGTTTCGTGTTCCCTGGCAGGGTGTACGTGCAGCAGTGCTGCTTCCAGAAGCTTAGTCGGGTGAAGGAGCGCGCAGCAGACGCGCTACACGTCAGCACAGCCGCCCACATCACCATGCTGCTGCGCTTCCTGAACCTGCGACCGACCCGCCCGGTGGGTGCTGGAAACGACTTGTTGAGAAAGTGGGTCGTTCATTTCAAGTGTGGGACGTGAGAGCATAGCTTCTCACCACATCACCACGCTGCTGCGCTTCCTGAACCTGCGACCGACCCGCCCGGTGGATGCTGGAAATCGCTTGTCAAAATTGAGTCCGGACTGAGAGCACAGCCTCTCACCACCCCACCACACTGCTGCGCTTCCTGAATTTGCGGCCGACCTGCCCGGTGGGTGCTGGAAACGACTTGTTGAGAAAGTGTTCGTTCAAGTGTGGGACGTGAGAGCATAGCCGCCCACATCACCATGCTGCTACCCTTACTGAGCCTGTGACCGACCCACCCGGTGGGTGATGAAAACGGCTCGTGGGTTGCATGTATGTAGCATTCAATGCATGTATGTAGCATTCAATTCAATGCATGCATGTAGCATTTAATGCATGTATGTAGCATTCAATGCATGCATGTAGCATTCAATGCATGCATGTAGCATTCAATGCATGCATGTAGCATTCAATGCATGCATGTAGCATTCAATGCATGCATGTAGCATTCAATGCATGCATGTAGCATTCAATGCATGTATGTAGCATTCAATGCATGTATGTAGCATTCAATTCAATGCATGTATGTAGCATTCAATGCATGTATGTAGCATTCAATGCATGTATGTAGCATTCAACTCAATGCATGTATGTAGCATTCAATTCAATGCATGTATGTAGCATTCAATGCATGTATGTAGCATTCAATGCATGTATGTAGCATTCAATGCATGCATGTAGCATTCAATGCATGTATGTAGCATTCAATGCATGTATGTAGCATTCAATGCATTCATGTAGCATTCAATGCATGTATGTAGCATTCAATTCAATGCATGTATGTAGCATTCAATTCAATGCATGTATGTAGCACGCAATGCATGTATGTAGCATTCAATGCATGTATGTAGCATTCAATGCATGCATGTAGCATTCAATGCATGCATGTAGCATTCAATGCATGCATGTAGCATTCAATGCATGTATGTAGCATTCAATTCAATGCATGTATGTAGCATTCAATGCATGTATGTAGCATTCAAGTCAATGCATGTATGTAGCATTCAATTCAATGCATGTATGTAGCATTCAATGCATGTATGTAGCATTCAATGCATGCATGTAGCATTCAATGCATGCATGTAGCATTCAATGCATGCATGTAGCATTCAATGCATGCATGTAGCATTCAATGCATGCATGTAGCATTCAATGCATGCATGTAGCATTCAATGCATGTATGTAGCATTCAATGGATGTATGTAGCATTCAATGCATGTATGTAGCATTCAATGCATGTATGTAGCATTCAATTCAATGCATGTATGTAGCATTCAATTCAATGCATGTATGTAGCATTCAATGCATGTATGTAGCATTCAATGCATGTATGTAGCATTCAATGCATGCATGTAGCATTCAATGCATGTATGTAGCATTCAATGCATGTATGTAGCATTCAATGCATGCATGTAGCATTCAATGCATGTATGTAGCATTCAATTCAATGCATGTATGTAGCATTCAATTCAATGCATGTATGTAGCACGCAATGCATGTATGTAGCATTCAATGCATGCATGTAGCATTCAATGCATGCATGTAGCATTCAATGCATGCATGTAGCATTCAATGCATGTATGTAGCATTCAATGCATGTATGTAGCATTCAATTCAATGCATGTGTGTAGCATTCAATGCATGTATGTAGCATTCAATGCATGTATGTAGCATTCAATTCAATGCATGTATGTAGCATTCAATTCAATGCATGTATGTAGCATTCAATGCATGTATGTAGCATTCAATGCATGTATGTAGCATTCAATGCATGTATGTAGCATTCAATGCATGCATGTAGCATTTAATGCATGTATGTAGCATTCAATGCATGTATGTAGCATTCGATGCATGCATGTAGCATTCAATGCATGTATGTAGCATTCAATTCAATGCATGTATGTAGCATTCAATTCAATGCATGTATGTAGCATTCAATTCAATGCATGTATGTAGCATTCAATTCAATGCATGTATGTAGCATTCAATTCAATGCATGTATGTAGCATTCAATTCAATGCATGTATGTAGCATTCAATTCAATGCATGTATGTAGCATTCAATGTATGTATGTAGCATTCAATTCAATGCATGTATGTAGCATTCAATTCAATGCATGTATGTAGCATTCAATGCATGTATGTAGCATTCAATTCAATGCATGCATGTAGCATTCAATGCATGCATGTAGCATTCAATTCAATGCATGCATGTAGCACGCAATGCACGCTCAGAGCTGGTTGAAGGAAGGCGAATCAAGTGTCTGAAGCAGCAGGTCATCAATCCCAGCAACTGCTCCCATACCCAGACATCTGTCATCAAGGCTCCCCTTGTAACCATCCGTCAACCTCAACTCCCCCTCCTCTTCAACTTCCCCCCCCACCCCCCCTCTTCCCATGCGGTGGGTGCAGGCGGAGTTTACCCCTGCGGACTTCAACCGTCACACGGAGAATCTGGGCTTAGGCTCGGGCTGTACTGACCGGGTAAGCACCTGGGCTTAGGCTCGGGCTGTACTGACCAGGTAAGCACCTGGGCTTAGGCTCGGGCTGTACTGACGGGGTAAGCACCTGGGCTTAGGCTTTGGCTTTGCTGAACGATGAGCAGCCATAGTGTGCTAAAGCAGTGCGCTTTTCCATACTAGATGAGCTACATACACCCACATCTATGTAACCCACTGACAATCTTCTGTTACCCACCCACTCACTCACTCACTCACTCACCCTTGTATTTTCCCCCCCGTACTGCCCTCACGCCCCTCTCACTTCCCTCTCACCTTTCCCCCCACACCACCACTGCCCTCCCCCCCCCCCCCCCCCCCAACACTGCCCTCAACCCTTCCCCAACATTACCTTCATTCGACCTGGCAGCAGGCGGCGTCTAAGAGAGTGCGGGCGACGGCAGGAGGGGGTGAGAGTATCGAGGAGGGGGAGGGAGAGGCAAAGTCGATGACAGACGAGGAGGTGAACCGATACGTGGGTGTCACCACCAACAATCAGGCGCTGCCGGTGAGTTGGGATGGGATAGCGGCAATTACCTTGCTGCCTGCTGACTTTTGAGACAACTCAGAAGGCAATGACAGCCGAGGAGGTGAACTGATATGTGGACTCCTCTCACTTCACCGCCTGCTGACTTTTGAGTGTGAAAAAAAGGCAATTGAACCGATATGTTGGTGTCACCACCAACAGCCAAGAGCTGCTGATGGGTGGGCAGGGGATAGGGACATACTATAGGGGATGGGTACGCACTGCGGACTGCCTTCACTTCAATGCCCGGTTGACCTTTTGAGTCAACTCAGAGGGCGATGACAGATGCGGAGGTGAATCGTAATGTGCACGCTTGCTCTAAGTGCCAGTGCCTGCCACAGCCCTTGCTACAGTGCGTGATACATGTCATGGTCTAGGGTTTAGGGTATCTGAGTATCTGAACTCCCCTGGCAGAATATCCGACAGCAGCAGGGCATATGATGCCCATGCAAGGCATCTCTCACGCCTGGTCCCTCCCTGTCGCCTCCTTTCCACACGCCTGCCCGGCAGGAGATGGAGCCTCCCCTGGGTGTGACCTCGCAGCTGCGGTGTTACCAAAAGCAGGCGCTGCACTGGATGGTGTCCATGGAAACCACTGGGCAGAGCGTGCCAAGCAGTGCTGCTGATGGTGCTGATGGTGGTGGTGATGGTGGCAAGAGGTCCAGTGCACGGGATGAGTGTGATACGCTGCATCCGTGCTGGGAGGAGTATACTCTGCAGCACAAGTGCGTTGCCATTTGACACCTAACCCCCCACGCCAACAGTATGCTTTCGCAGGGCACATTTTACTGTGCTGCACGCTGCACATTGCTCACACTACACGCTGCACCCGTGTTGGGAGGAGTACGCTCTGCGGCACAAGCGCGTTACAGCATCCGAGTCTCAATGTCCCAGGCCCACAGCATGATTTGCTTTCACAAGATTGCACATTCTACAGTCCACACACTACACACGCCTCAGATGCATCACCCTGGACTGGATTGTTCTTCAAGTTCGTGTTCAGTAGAAGAAAAAACGAATTGCACATGTCATTGCTGACATTTAAGGATCTACACAAGCGCCCTGCAATGTCCCTTCATTACCACTATGCTCCTTTCCAAGCGCCTCCCCTAACCCTCGTCCATGCTCGCCCTTCCCCTCTTAGCCCCTTCGTCCCCCCTTCCCTTCTACCTCTCCCCTCTTTAATTCTCTTTCCGCTTGCCTCTCATTCCTTTCCACGCTGCTTCCTCTGCCTTCTCAGTGGTGGCACTCCGTTCTACCACAACGTTTTCTCAGGGGAAGTTACCCTGGAGTTTCCAAGCGCAATGGAGAGAAGCAGGGGAGGGGTGAGTGGGAAGAGGTGGCCGATACTGTGGGAGTTCAGGGCGGTTGTGGAGGGGAAACTGGAACAAAATCATTGAACTCATGTCTTAGACAAGACATGTTATTGTGGCATTGCTTCTGACTCTCCATTTGCATCAAGGTTTAACACGCCTTGGAGGGAAATTTTCCTAGCACATCCCTTCCCCTACCTACCTTCCATCTTTTTCCTCCCTCTTTCCTCTTGAAATTCTTCTCTCCATCTAGGTCTCAGGGGGCGGCATAGGCGGCATAGGGGCGGCATAGGCGGCATAGGGGCGGCATAGGCGGCATAGGGGCGGCATAGGCGGCATAGGGGCGGCATAAGTTCACTTTTGAGAATTCTCAAAAGTCACTCCGTCTAGATCTCAGAGGGCGGCATAGGTTCATCCCAACCTTATGAATTTCTTCATCCTAGACAGGTATTGACTATTATTGCACTGCTTTGGATTGATTCCCAACTCCCTGTTCTCCCTCTCCCCTTTCGCCGCTCCCCGTCTCACCTTCCACTCTTTCAGATTCTAGCAGACGCCATGGGTCTTGGCAAGACGGTTATGACCATTGCGCTTATTGCTGCGAGCAAGGCGAACAGAGAGAGGGAGAGGGCGAAGGGACCAGGGGGTGAACTGGGAGGAGTGGTGGGGAAGGTGGAAGGAGGAGGGGTGGGGAAACAAGTGAGGGATGGGAGGCGACACGGAAACATCAACGGAGCATGTGCTGTTGCAAACGGTGCTGCTTGTAAGGAGGATGTGGCCGCAGTTGGGAGTGCAAAGCGGAAGAGAGGGGAGTGCAGTGCGGTGGTGGGAGCAGGGAGAGGGATTCGTGTTGGTTCAAGGAGGAAGAAGCGAGTGAAAAGGGAGGTGGAGGATGGGACAGGAGAGGGAGGTGATGTAGCGTTATTCGACTATGATGATACCGACGAGAATGAGGATGAGGATGACGATGGGGATGAGGAGTATTTGCCTGGTGGGGAAGGGGATGATGGTGGTGGTGGTGCTGATGCTGGCAGTTCTGACAGCGATGCTGGCGGTGCTGAGAGCGATGCAGAGGTGCAGGAGGTTGGAACTGAGACGTGGAGAGCAGAGGAGACTCAAGAGGAGGCACACGAGGAGGGTGGCAGGGAGGAAGAGGAGTGGAGCGGCAGGGGCAGCGGTAGCAGCAGGGAGAGGAGGGTGCGAGGAGGGACGCTCATAGTGTGCCCCATGACGCTTCTCAGCCAATGGAAGGTGCGCCTTTTGAGACGTCTCAAGGGACGATTGTTGAGGTTGAGGCGCCTAAAAAAATGTCTCCAGGGACGATTGTTGAGGCGCCTAAAAAAATGTCTCAAGGGCCCCATGACGCCCTCTGCCCTCTCTCCTCTCTCCTCTCTCCTCTCTTCTCTCTCCTCTCTCCTCTCTCCTCTCTCCTCTCTCCTCTCTCCTCTCTCCTCTCTCCTCTCTCCTCTGTCTTCTCCCCGATCTATTCCCTTAGACTTTTGAATTTTTTCATCAGTCAATCCCCATGTTTGAGGTGCCTCAGAATTGAATATCTGAGGATTTAAAGCCGCTTTTGATAGAGAAGGCACTCAGAAATATACTCTTTGCCGCCCCCTCCTCCCCCCCTCCTCCCCCCCTCTCTCTCTCTCTCCCGCCCCCTCCTCCCCCTCACGCCAAAAGTGTGTGAGGCGCTCACAGCACCCGGCCTGCTCTCTTGACGGGTCTTTGAAGCCGCTTTTGTATCGACTCAGAGGTACCCTCACTCTCTCTTCTCCCCCTCTCCCCCTTCCCTCTCCTGCCCCGTCCTCCCCCCCATCAGGCCGAGTGTGAGGCGCACAAGGCGTCCGGCTTGCTGTCAGTGATTAATTATCTTCCACTCTTTCCCCCGTCTTCCCCGCTTCCGTCTTTGAGTGTGAGGCTCACACGGCACCCAGTCTACTCTCAGTAATGGTGTACTATGGTTTGAAGCGGTGCAACTTTTGAGACGTCTCAAAAACACCCTCGCTACATGTGAGGCTCACACGGCACCCAGTCTACTCTCAGTGATGGTGTACTATGGTTTGCAGCGGTGCAACTTTTGAGACGTCTCAAAAACACCCTCGCTACGTGTGAGGCTCACACGGCACCCAGTCTACTCTCAGTGATGGTGTACTATGGTTTGCAGCGGTGCAACTTTGAAGCCGAGCCGCTTCTGAGTCAACTCACGGGTACACTGCCTCTTTTCTTCCCCTCTTCTCCTCATCCCCTCCTTTCCCCCTCAGGCGGAGTGTGAGGCGCACACGGCACCTGGTGTGCTCTCAGTGATGGTCTACTATGGCTCGCAGCGGCTGGATGAGGCTCGCCTGCTGGCACAGCACGATGTGGTGATCACCACGTATGGCACGCTGCAGGCGGAGTACAAGGTGAGGAGATGATGAGACGAATTCTGATGGAGGCGCCTCAGAAGCCTGTAAGAGCTGAAACGACATGTGAGGCGCCTCATGATCAATCGACGCAGCACGATGCAGTGGTCATCACCACGTATGGCACGCTGCAGGCGGTATACAAGGTGAGTTTCGATGAGACGACCTTTGCTGAGTCGACTTGGTGCCCTGAAAGGCTGCATGTGGTGAGGCGATATCTGAGGTGCCTCATGTTGAGTCGGCGCAGCACGATGTGGTGTTCTCACCACCACGTATGGCACACTGCAGGTGGTATGCAAGGTGATGCGATGATTTTTCATTGAGGAGGCGCCTTGAAGATCCGCGCGTGATGAGACAATACCTGAGGTGCCGCATGATGAATCGGCGCAGCATGATGTGGTGGTCAGGTCACCTCACAACAGGCTGTCAGGCAGGCGCATCTGCCCTCCTTGTTCCCCACCTCCCCTTCCCCTCCCACATCCCTCCCCTCCCCAATCTCCCACCACGCCTCCCACCATCCACAGCGCTTCAACAAGTGTGTGGCAGAGGAGAATGTGGCAGCACAACAAAGCCCTCTTGCCACCTCGTTTCTCACCTCAGCCTGCTTCTGAACCTCCTTATAAAATATCCCACCTCCAAAACCCTCGCCCCACCTCCCCTCCCCCCAATTCCCCACCATCCACAGCGCTTCAACAAGTGTGCGGCAGAGGAGAGTGTGGCAGGAGGAGAACAAAGCCCTCTTGCCACCTCCTTAATTATAGTCGCCTATTCACACCCCGGTATCTAACAACTCCCCCGATTCCCCACCATCCACAGCGCTTCAATAAATGTGCGGCAGAAGAGAGTGTGGCAGCACTACAAGGCCCTCTTTCCACCGCAGGGCCGGTGCGGCTGGGGTCGCTGCACAGTGTGCAGTGGTGCAGAGCGGTGCTGGACGAGGCTCATTATATCAAGAACCGCGCGTCTGGTGCTGCCGCTGCCACCTTTGCGCTCCAAGCTGACGCCCGCTGGTGCCTCACTGGCACGCCCATCCAGGTGCGGGGGGAGAGGGGGGATGTGAGGTGGTGGGTGGGTGGGGGGAGGGGCGGGTGGAACAAAGTGTGTGATGCACACAGTGTTGTGTCTGTTGAGTCACGGCAATGGTGCTGCCGCTGCCACCTTTGCCCTGCAAGCTGATGCCCGCTGGTGCCTCACTCACTGGCACGCCCATCCAGGTGCGGGGCGAGGGGAGGGGAGGGGTGTGACTGAGAGGTTGTTGAGTGCAAACGTTACACCAGGCAGAGAAAAGGAACAATTGTGGCTGTAACGAATTGTATAATCCAGTAACTGCCGCTGACTATGCCCAGTTTGGTTGACTCAAAGGCCACAACTGGCATGACGTGGCATGACGTGGCACATGACGTGGCATGACGTGGCAGAACCAACTGGAGGACGTGTACAGTCTGCTGCGCTTCCTGCGGGTGCAGCCGTGGGACAACTGGGGGTGGTGGCAGCGCCTGGTGCAGCAGCCGTACGAGCGAGGGGACATGCGAAGCATCAAGCTGCTGCAGGGGCTGCTCAAGCCTCTCATGCTGCGCCGAACCAAGGAGTCAAAGGACAGGTAATGTTGGGCTAAGATGGGTAGTCTTGGGCGTGTTTGCGCTGGATGTAGAATGGAGCTTGATGGTAAGTCAACCCGTTGTCGAAATTAATGATGTCTCTGAACCTGTTGTCAATACCACCACTGCACCCACACTCTGCATTTTTCTAAACCCGTTGTAATTCTTTTTGTGAATCTACTTTCCTGCCTTGTGCTTAAATCGTTATCAGGGACGGAACCTTCAGGCGGTTTAAAATGTGAATTACCCGTTCTGCTGTGTTGTTCACTCATCCTTGTCATTTTCAGGGAGGGGAAGCGCATTCTTGTTCTGCCGCCCATATCTTTCCGCGTGATCTCATGCGACTTCTCACCGGAGGAGAGGGACTTCTACGATGCACTGCATAATAAATCCAAGGTTAGTCACCCGGCTGAATCAGTCCACAGTATGCCGTACGGCTCAAAAAGTCAAAGTTTCCCGCCCGACACGATAACTCCAAGACACGCCGCCCTGTCAGGCCACATGCCCGGCATCATGCCCATCCATCCATGGCAGTCAGATCATTCTCGCCTATCAAAAGCCTGTCTCCTCGGCTTGTTCGGGCTTGCACCCTTGCCTGCTTACACCGCCCATGGCCCCCACCAGTTCCACTCCACACGCCTTGTGGCCCAGCCCAGGGCAAAGTGCTGCACAACCATTCCCTTCCGGTTTTTGAGAATTCTAAAAAACCAGCTCGTATTTTTGAGAATTCTCAAAAACCAGCTCGTCTTTTTGAGAATTCTCAAAAACTTGTACTCTCTCACATCCTCCCTTGGTCTCTCCCTCCCTCGATGACCCCGCCCACTCCAGGTCAAGTTTGACAGCTTCGTGGCACAGGGCCGCGTGCTGCACAACTATGCATCCATCCTTGAGATGCTGCTGCGCCTGCGCCAGGTGGGTGCTGGGTGGTGGTGCTGGGTGCTGAGTGGTGGTGCTGGGTGCTGGGTATGGGTGGTGTGCTGCACGACTATGCCTCCATTCTCGAGATGCTGCTGCGCCTGCCCCAGGTGGGTGCTGTGGGTGCTTGGTGGTTGGGTGGTGATTGGTTGGGTGGTGAGTGGTTGGGTGGTTGGTGGCGGGTGGTGGGTGCAGCTGGCGGGTGTTAGGCAATGAGTATAGATGATGGGCATTGTGTGGGGGGCGGCCATTGAGCATGCATGTAGCCATGCTGTCATGTATGTATAACATGTGCTGATCTGTAAATGAGGTGCGCGTCCTTTTTCCCTGTCCTCCTTGCTTCCCTTCCCTCGATCCCACTAACGCACCAATCAGGTGTGCGACCACCCGTTTCTCGTTTTAAGCCGCTCCGACACAATGGACGACGAGGACCTCAGCAAGCTGGGACGAAGGTTCCTCGCAGCTTGCTCACAGGGAATGGCAGGTGCTGCTGCTGGTGGTGCCGATGCTGCTGCTGAGGCTGCAGGAGAATGTGAAGAATCAGGCAGCGGTCCTGATGGGTGGGATGAAACCCACAAGGGCCCCTCCCGGGAGTATGTGCAGTCGGTAATGGAACAACTGAAGAGGAGGAGGGAGGGGTTAACGCAGGGAGGGGACGAGTGTCCGGTGTGTTTGGAAGTGGCAGAGGATGCGGTGTTCATGCCCTGTGCGCACATTGCATGCCGCGAGTGCCTGCTCACCGCCTGGAGACCTTCAAGCACGGGCGGCCCTTGCCCCGTCTGCCGGTACGTGTGATTCTATAAGAGAGTAACAGTGATTAGAGGATGCGGTGTTCATGCCCTGTGCGCACATTGCATGCCGGGAATGCCTGCTCACCGCCTGGAGACCTTCAGTCAATGGCCCTTGCCCCGTGTGCCGGTACGTGAGCCAGCTAGTGAACTTGTCATAGCTGCATGATAACCTTTCGAAGACTTGATGGTACATCCCATGTCACTTATTCCTCAACCTTTTGCCAAAACACAATCCCTCTTGTGCTGCCGCTGCACGCATTTTGTACCGTTCCCCCAACACTCCTCCCCTCCCCCCTCCCAGTCGGCAAATCCTGCGCTCCCAGCTCATCACAGTCCCACGTGCCAGCCGCTTCTCATTGGATGTGGAGGCCAGCTGGCAGGACTCTGTGAAGGTCCGCCAGCTGCTACAGTGCCTGGGGGAGATCCGGGCGGCATCGGCTCGTAAGGGAGCGCATGGGGGAGAAGGAGGGGAGAAGAGCGTGGTTTTCAGCCAGTGGACGGCGTTTCTCGATCTTTTGGAGATTGCATTCAAAAGGTGTGTAGAGGGGTCACTTTTTTTTCAAGGTGCCTTGAAGAGGGGTCTATTAACGAGGCACCTCGTAATGCTTTCTTGATTTGTAACGGATGTACACTAAAAAAGGGTGTGAAGAGAAAGGGCAGCTGAGCACAGACAAGTGAGAGGGCAATGGGAGGGACTTGCTTCTAGGCCTTGGTAGTGCGGACAAGAGAACGAGCTTTGAAACCCATCGGTGTAAGGGGTTTTTCTGATTTGCTTTCTCCTTGTTGTTCTCTCCCTCCCAATCCATTTGTACATGCAGGGCCAAGGTGCCATTTGTGCGGCTGGACGGCAGCATGTCGCAGCAGCAGCGGGAGCGGGCGATCAACGAGTTGAAGGACAATCCCAAGGTGGAGGTGATGTTGGTGTCGCTCAAAGCGGGCGGCGTGGGGCTCAACCTCACTGCAGCTTCACATGCCTTTGTCATGGTATGCTTCAAAACCCTCAAACATGCATGACTTTTGAGTCGACTTGGGAGTCACCTTGTGGGGCTCAATCTCACCGCAGTCTCGCACGCCTTCGTCATGGTATACATTCGGCATGGCGGCGTAAGCATTATTGTTTCAATGCCCCTGAAAGAACCACCTGCAGCAATCAAGCATGAACCACCATCTCACTGCCCGTCTCAGGAACCATGATTGTGTTGGAAATAGTGAATCTTAAGCGCTTCAGTCGTGTCGAAACACCACACCAGAAGCGAAGCACGCCATGTCGAAGCACCCGCGAGTCAACCCACGGAGGTTAAAAGAGGTTGCTGGAGGTTACGCGAAAGTCAAAGGTCAAGCGACCTTTGACCTGACAAATACAGCGCGACAGTTAAGGACACACAGCTGACTCGTTACAAAGCAGTTGCCCGAGTCGTACTGTATCGAACCGCAACAGCAGCAGTAAAGTAGTTACAAACTGCATCCTTTCATATTCCTTGTAATATTTTTTTTAAATGAAGCACCCTCGATTAGGGAAGGGAAGCCAAAACCATACCAACTCTTATTATTATATAATCTTGTACTTCCTTGCTATAATCAATCTACTTTGCCCTCACATACCAGCGCAAGGTGGTTCACAAAACTTTGTTAAACGCTTCCGCTATTACAACACTATCCATCCAGAGTTCTCCCTTGAAAGATCCTAAGGGGCTATCCTAGCCCAACATGGTATGAGAGCAAACAGGGGAAACTCTACTACCTTCAAACCATTACAAGACATGGCAACAAGCAAGGAAAAGAGCTCCTCTAACGGCTCCCCAGGCACTACTCCTACTCCACCTCCTGCCTCTGGCCTGCAGACAGAAGAAGGCACGGCAACAAGACCAAAAGCAACATCTACTGAAACTCCCGCAAATCACCCCGCGACCTTCGACCCGAGTATAATGGAGAAGTTCTTCTCCTTCATGTCCTTCTACGAGCAGCACCAGCAGTCGGGACCTGCACAATCACACAACAGCAACAACAACGGAGCAACACCTATGAGCCTTGACGGGTCGTCATATGCGCGCGGAAACCAACAGCAGCAACCTACCTTCGCCCCGTACGAGCGCGGGTCGATCAGCTTCATGCCGCAGCCTTCACCTGGACAAGATAAACCACTGGACGCATTACAAGTGCAATCGCAGTTCGCGCACGTTCTGAAGCTGCAGACATCAAGGCCCTTCGACGGAAAGGACTTCTTCACCTGGTCATTCGAGTTCGAGTTAATGATGGAAGGCGCACAGATACTCGGCTTCTTCGACGGGTCTCTGCAATATCCAGCAAACGGCACACAGTATGAGAAGCAGCAGTATACGTATCAATCGATGATGGCGTATACGATTCTACTGAGGAACGTCACACCAACTCAGTAGCAGAACATACGCTCTTACCGGGGTTACGGCAACTCCGCTGAGCTCGCGTACAGCCACCTGAAGAACCTGTATCAAGCAACAGACAGCGTAAACCAAAGCAGGTTAATGGCGCAGTTGACAACAGTTGAAATGAAACCGGGAGAAAAAGGGATGGCATATATCAGCCGATGTCGCGAACTGCGCGACAAGCTTCTTCGATGCGGAGGGTCAATCTCTGAAGACGCCTTCGTGACAGTCATCATTGGTGGTCTCGGTCCCCAATGGCGCGCCACCAAAGCTATCCTCCGAGCCCACGGCAGAATCTCTGAAGCAGCACTCTGCGCCGAAATCCACGCTGAGCAGCAGGACATGGACCTGCAAGAAGAACGACACAGAAAGAAGACGACAACATCAGAGTTCGCGTTTCACACTCAACGACGTCACAACAATTACAACAATCGACAACAACAACCGAAGCCAATACCTCCTTTCTGCCACATCTGCAAGACTTCAGGACACCCGCGCACACACTGTCCGAATCGACAACCGTCAACGACTCCGCAGCGACAACTACGACCTTCAAGCAATCAAGTCACATCGACACAGCCGAATCCGACGACCCAGCTCCAATCTTCAACAACTCCAACGGGACAACCTGCGCAAGGAGCAAGAAACATCGTCAGCTGCATGGCAAGACTGAACGATTCTTGCATCACAGAATCGCCACCGTACTACTCACCAGAAGAGCAATTCGACGAAACGACACCACGCCGCGAGTCACTTCAGCCAAACCCGACATACGCTGCCATAGCCCAAAACGAGCCATCCGGGAAGGACACGTGGTTCTTGGACAGTTGCTGCGGGCAACACATGTGCTCCTCAGGACGCTTCGTACAACGAGAATACCAGCTTCAACGAGAGGTGGTCATCACCGTTGCCAACAATCAAAATCTGCGCACACGACGACAAGGAGTTGTTCAACTTCAGTCAAGAGAAACGAACGTCATTCTACAGATGTCTAAGGTTTTAATTGCAAAAGGCCTCGGCTACAACTTACTCAGCGTCAGTCAACTGATGGCGAAAGGTATTCACCTTGAAGCAGACAGCACAACCCAGGAATTCAAGCTGTACCACGGGAGAGGAGGTCTCTACATCGGCAAGGCGGTTCTCAAGAACAACGTCTTCGTTCTTGACTTCGTCCCCGATCTCGGAACGGCCGACAGCGACGCCATCGTCAACTTCACTGACTGGACACATCCTCCAGATCTTGATCCAGACTTCAGCCCGAGCGGCTTCTGGTACTCACACACCATCCCTGAAACAGAAAGAACAAGGGCGCTGGCGACAATTCAGCAGTCGGCAGCAGCAGAGACAACATCGACAGCAGCAGAAACAAGATCGACAGCAGCAGAGACAACATCGGCAGCAGCAGAAACAAGATCGACAGCAGCACAGACAACAGCAGCAGCAGTAGAAACATCAACACCAATCGCCGGCCCCTCAACGGCACAGCCCTTCATCGACGAGACGCCACCAACACCGGCGCAGCAGCTCAACCCAGCACCACGGGAAGTTCATAGAAGCGCGAACATCATCGCCGGCCTCTACTCCAACTCCGACATATACCGACGATCGCCAGGACACCGCGCCAACGAAGAAACCTGGCACGCAAGAATGGGAGACCCAAGCAACACAGTATTAAACAACACGATAAGAGCTGGAGTACTTGACAAGGATTCACTCTTACTGATCGACGGCAGAGAACTTCAGCGAGCTCGAGGAACGTGCTTCACCTGCCCCGAAGCCGACTTACCGCATCAGCCCTTCGTCTCGCATCACAACCCAAGCGCACCTGCATATGCACCACTCGAGAAAGTATATAGCGACATCTTGTACAACCGCGAACCCGGACAAAACGCGTACAACTACACCATCACCTTCATTGACGCCGCTACACGTTACGTCTGGCACCTAAACTTACCAAGTCGCGACATGGCTTTCGAGGCTTTCGTGGCATGGCTTCCAGCAGCAGAACGGGAATCAGGAGCTAAACTCAAAAGTTTTCAATCAGACGGAGGAGGAGAATACTCGTCACAGCGGTTCAAGCAGTATCTGGCGGAGAAGGGAATCAAGAGACTCATCTCCCTTCCCTACGCCCATCAACAGCAGGGCGTAGCAGAAAGGATGAACAGGACTCTGCAGAACACCATGCGCAAACTGTTACGTGGCATGCGGCTACCCAACCACCAGTGGCCCGAAGCAATGGACCACGCCGTGATGCTGCACAACTTGCTTTCTTCGTCGTCACTCCCGAACAACACATCACCGCATCTGCTGTGGACAGGGAAACTGGGCAGCACAAAAATGTTACGAGTCTTCGGCTGCATGGTACAGTACCGACCCCCATCTGCACGAGCCGGCCGATTCTCCCAACGCGCACAGTGGGGGCTACACCTGGGCATCGAAAAACATTACAACGCGTGGAAAATCTTCGACATCCACACCAAGGAAACAGTAGCAGCACGTGATGTAATTTTCTACGAACGGCTCGCACTGCCAACGTATCTTGCCAACCTGGACGAAAATCGAGACCCCACAGGTGGCTTCCGTGGCGATCGAGCCTTCACTTCGGCAGAAGACGAAGCTGACTGGGACGAGCAGAACGTGGAAGGAGCCTCGGAAGAAGCCGGGCCTCTTCCCTACTGCTCAGTGGACGTACCGATGGACGAAAATAACCCTCGCGAAAGCGTCAACGCCGAAACCTACTACCACTTCGTCGACAACGGTTACGTTACACCTGCTGAAGTCAACACCAACGAAGCAGAACGCATAGGGCCCAATTTCGCACCTGATCCAGAAGCTGGAGACGAGGCAGTCTATCCCGAGGACACCACACTCCCCCGCTACACACAGAGTGGACTCCAGATACTCGGGCTCGTCACCGCAGTCCACGGCGCCGCCATTCCTAAAGAGCCTGCAACGATTCAGCAGGCTCTGGGGGGGGAACACAGGGAAAAATGGCGTGAAGCCATGGACAAGGAGCTGAAAGCGCTAGAAGAACGCAACACCTGGAAAATCGTTCCTATCGGCGTAGCACGAAAGACCATTCTCACCGGAAAATGGGTCTTCCGCGTAAAGACGAAAGCAGATGGCACCATCGACAAATTCAAAGCGCGCTGGGTCGTACGCGGCTTCGACCAAGAGCACGGTCGCGACTTCACCGAAACCTTTGCTCCGGTCAGCCGACACACCTCACTACGCATTCTCCTCGCGATCGCCGCCATGAAGAAGAAAAGGCTACGACAAATCGACGTCGCAAACACCTTTCTCTACGCACCTGTTGACGCAGAAATCTTCGTGGAGCTACCACACGGCTCCAGCACGGACTCCACACACGTCTGTCAACTACTCAAATCGCTCTACGGCATCAAACAAGCCCCACGACTGTGGCAACAGTACCTGCACGCCCGACTCGCTCGCATCGGCTTCAAGCAGCTACCGCACGATCAGGGAATGTATCGGCTCACGAAGGGTACAGACTACATCCTCCTAATCGTCTACGTAGACGATTTACTCTACATCGGCTCGACAGACAACGTCACCTCCTGGTTCGAAGGGGAGCTGCAGAAAGACCTCACGCTCACGGTCTCGTCTACCGTCACACAGTACCTCGGCCTCAACATCCGAGAAGAAGAAGATGCGATCTACCTCAACGCCGCGAAATATGCCGACACCATCGCCAAACGCTTCGCTCTCACACCAGCCGCCATCTCTACGCCATACCGCTACACGACAGGAACCGAGAAGGGACAATCCACTCTACTCAAACCAGCCGGCATACGCGACTATCAGAGGAAGCTCGGATGCCTCCTCTTCGCAGCCGTCACTTGCCGTCCCGACCTCTCATACTACGCAAGTCAACTCGCCACCTACCTCAAGAGGCCTGAAGCAGAACATCTGGCGGAACTTGACCGCGCTCTTCACTACTTCAAGAACGCAGCTACACCAACTAAGCTAATCGGTTATGTCGACGCCGATCACGCCGGCGACTCCGACAACAGGCGCTCACGTACCGGCTACGTCTACCGCCTCGAACCTATCGGACCTATATCCTGGCAGTCGAACAAGCAGGAGTTAATCGCGTTATCATCAGCTGAGGCAGAATATATCGCACTCTGCTCAGCCACCAAGGAAGGCCTTTACCTTCGCGAGCTACTGGAAGAAGCAAAGTTAGCTGAGTTACCCAACTTCACCCTGTTCTGCGACAACCAGTCTGCAATTCGCATCGCCAACAAGAACGGCTTCGCGAACAGGACGAAACACATCGCCCTGCGTTACTTCTTCGTGAAGGACGAGATCGAGAAGGGGAGACTTCAGCTGTCATACTGTCCCACGTCCGAGATGGCAGCCGATTATTTGACCAAGAAACTCGGAAAACAAAAATTCGAGTACTGCATGTTGCTGACTGGACAGAGCCACGTCATCAGCAACGACACTCCAGAAGCGAAGGGGAGTGTTGGAAATAGTGAATCTTAAGCGCTTCAGTCGTGTCGAAACACCACACCAGAAGCGAAGCACGCCATGTCGAAGCACCCGCGAGTCAACCCACGGAGATTAAAAGAGGTTGCTGGAGGTTACGCAAAAGTCAAAGGTCAAGCGACCTTTGACCTGACAAATACAGCGCGACAGTTAAGGACACACAGCTGACTCGTTACAAAGCAGTTGCCCGAGTCGTACTGTATCGAACCGCAACAGCAACAGTAAAGTAGTTACAAACTGCATCCTTTCATATTCCTTGTATTATTATATAATCTTGTACTTCCTTGCTATAATCAATCTACTTTGCCCTCACATACCAGCGCAAGGTGGTTCACAAAACTTTGTTAAACGCTTCCGCTATTACAACACTATCCATCCAGAGTTCTCCCTTGAAAGATCCTAAGGGGCTATCTCAGCCCAACAGATTGAATCTATCAATGAAGACACATATTTGTTCCAAGGCAACTCAATCCACCCTCTCTGCCCTTCGTTTGCCTTGCCCCACTCTAGCCAACCCGTTAGGAACCGTGGCGTAACCGTCAGTGGGGAAGCATTATTGTTCTAAGGCAACTCAAAGCACCACCTCTCAACCTTGTCTTTGTTGCACCACCCTACCTAACCCCCCAGGACCCCTGGTGGAACCCGTCAGCGGAGGAACATTACAGGCAACTCAGAGCACCATCTCCCACCCTTGTGTTCTTTGATCCACCCCACCTAACCCCCCAGGACCCCTGGTGGAACCCGTCAGTGGAGGAGCAGGCAGTGATGCGAGTGCACCGCATAGGGCAGACTCGCCCGGTTACAGTAACACGCTTCATAGTGCGCGACTCAGTAGAGGAGCGCATGCAGAAGGTGCAGCTGCGCAAGGATCAGATGGTGCAGGGAGCGCTCATGGACGATGGTGCACGCAACGCAAGGATAAATGAGCTCAAAATGCTCTTCAGGTAGGAGGTTAATTTTTTAGTCGCCTCATGAACACCTTTTTATCATGATGGTGTGCGCAAGCAACGCAAGAATAAACGAGCTCTCCAGATAGGTAGGCGGTATATGTTTACTGGAGCAAATCATGATTTAGAAGTAGTCAATGCTAATGTATAAATGAAACGTAGATGAACCATTTCAGCAGCTTAAGTTGTAATGAAGAATGTTGTGAATGCATTGACGGGTTGTTTTGTTCCCTTAGTCAGAGTGGGATGTATGTTCCAATCTATGGTAAAAATGTAGCTGACCAGTGGGCCAGTGGCATATGTCATTGTTATGATGCTGCTGGGTTAGGAAGGGAATGGGTGCAATGGAGGGCTATGACTGAGCAGCCTGAACATGAGCACAATAAATGTACAATCTCGCTAGTGTCACATTTCCATATTATCATCATCTACTTCTTCCAGCTGGAAGCACGTGCCTGCTGCCCCTGTTACCTGCGATGATTGATCATGTTGCGACGGTGGTAACCCGTTTCGAGTCTCATGAAACATGCCTCGCGACTGGCTGAAGCTGGAAAACGACGAGCACGATTCACCTTCTCCGATGCCCCCCCACCCCCGCGCTCCTCCCCACATTCCCGTTCCGCCAGTTTCCCCCGACGAAGACTCACAAGAACCCGCTCCCCCACATTCCGCGCGCTGTTGAGGATGAGAGGCCATGCCCCCAGTCGCGCAAGCCGACGCGCATCTAGTTACTGCGGACGGGCCCGCGCTCGCCGTATATGACCGTTGCGATTGCGACCCTTGCCACCCATTTGAGCCGCTCGCGACACTACTACATCCGCTGGTGGTCCAACTTGTGCACATGCTCTCGGGCGCATTTCTCGCCGAATTGTCCGCCGCGTCCAGCGCCGGATGCTGCGGCGGCGCCGACGCGATCTGCATGTTCCAGGCGCCCCACCGGATATGCGGAACGCGCAGCCACGGGCTCGACCAAGACAAACGCGGAACGGTCACGGTCAGCGAACCCACCGTGTGCGCCGCCGTCGCGCGCTCCGGACTCGCGTCAAACGGTAACTTGAACCGGCACCCGAACTTCCACGGGTTAGATATCGACGAATGAATGCTGCTACTGCTGCAGCTGTTGCAGAAAGAACTTGTGCCTGACGGTCCTGGGAGCAACGAGCGCTCGCAATGACGCGAGCAAAAAATGGTCAGAAGAGCACCATCACGGCACAAATCAGCATCGCCATCCAAGTCAGCGGAAGAAATTCCCCGCATTCCGCAGGCTCCCCCTCCGCCGTTCCGACCCGCAAACCGGCCAGGACCCCCTCCCTGATCTGCACAGCCGTTGGGGCAAGGCGAGCTCGACCGTCCAGGTTCACTGGACTCGACGCGTTCCACGACCACCTCCACCTCCTCCTGGCGCAACCCGTCCCTTTGGACCTCAAACGAGTACGTTTCGCCTGTCTCCGATATAAGCCATGTTGGCTTCCGGACGTCACCCTGATACTCCTTAATAATCTCGAACTCGATAGTGGTGAAGGAGGGAGCGAACTCCCCACTGTGCCGAAATGGCTTTCCTCGACATGAGTTTGTATAGTACGGCTGTGGCGCTGCAGGTCTGAAAATCCCCCGTGACCTACGGGACGCCATATCAACTACGCGCTGCCTAAGAAAACGACAGCTGAACCACGAGAAATGCCTCAGCTTTCGCCTCGAAAGGCACGACGATTAACAAGTCGACTGGAGGTGCCACTGCAAGATCAACCTAGGCGATGCGGCCTGTAGTCCTCAGCTAGAGAGCGTCTGCTGCAAAGAGGGAGCGAAGGGGAGAGCCAAGACATCTCTCGTCTAGGGTAGGCAGTCTAGATTCTTTTTGCAAAGTAAGACTAATTGGCCAGATACGGAACAGTCAACAAGTACTTTCTAGAGCTGCCTGCTTGGTGAAGGTAAAGGTGAAGGTGAGATTGAGGGTAAGTTGAGGAGAGGAGAGCTGCCCGTAGTGAAGGGGAGTAATGGGGTGGGCGATCAGGCAGGGGATTCACCACAACACGAATCTATGGGGGAGGGGAAAGAGTTGTTTGTTATGGCTGCTGGTTCAGGTTCCAGCTCAGCTTCCTCAGCAGGGCTTCCAGCTCCTTCGAAGTTATCCCATTGGTTACGACGCTGACGATATTTTATGCGAACCTCGTGCGTGCTGGAGCTGGGTTGCAGAAATTCGGTGAATGCCCACTTTCGCCAACATGTTTCTGGGACAAGTTGGTTGGTGGTGATCAGCAGCACTCTTCGCTCCTCGTGTCGCACATCACATCTGTCAAAATTGACGAAACTCGACTCGACCCCCTGGATTGCTATTGGAGGAGGTCAGTTCATAAAGGCGAGGTCTGTGTGTTTCCAGCCACTCAAACGAGCTTCTAGCAGCTTCCGCTATCCATTGGGATTGACGCATTTGGCAACCTTATCATACGCTCCATAAGCTCACTTCGTAACTCGCCGAACAACGTCAGTAAAAACCTAAGATCAGCTAAGGTCAAAAGTTGCACAGCACACTCCTATTCGAGTACGTTATCCGAAATTGTTCCAACAAAGAATGACCACTTTGGGTTCTGTTCTGGAGACACGTCACGGGACGTGACGTGGCAATGATAGGCAATTCCTTTTTGCTCTCCCGTCATCACCACACCACTCGCACACAAACACACCCATCTCATCCCCATCACCTTTTTCCGCTCCTCGCTCTGCCTATCTCACCCCACCCCTCTCAGTATGTGTCAAACTACTGCCTATCTTACCTCAGCCCTCTCAATCTCTCTATAACTATCTCCATCTCTTCTCGGCCTCGTTGTCTCCACCCAGTGCTCCCCGCAACCCAAGTCACGCCGCACTACCACACCCCTTTCTCCCCACTTCTCCAACCTTACCTCCTAACTAGTCGAATTAGGGTTTTCGCATTGCCGGACATGGCGCTCGCCTGTCCGTCCTCCGTGTCCTTCAAGTCCTTCCAAGGGCTCAAGGCCAGCCCAGCTGTCTCGTCCCAAGCTCGCATTAGTCGCTCCAATGTAGCTTTCCCGAATGCCTCGTCCAAGCGGCTGGTAGCCGTCGCGGCCGTCGCAGAGGCACCAGCAGCTGCTGGCCCTGCAGTTCTGCCCGTCCTGACAATGGACGGCGCGAACTCCGGCAAGACGGCAGAGCTGAACCTGCGGACGGCACGGCCGGAGACGGCAAAAGCAGTCGTCCACCGCGCCGTGGTCACCTACATGCAGAACAAGCGCGCGGGTACCGCGAGCACGAAAACCCGCGCGGAGGTGCGGGGAGGCGGGCGGAAGCCGATGAAGCAGAAGGGAACCGGCAGCGCTCGCCGTGGATCGCAGCGGACGCCGCTGCGTCCCGGTGGTGGTGTGGTGTTCGGGCCTAAACCCAAGGACTGGTCGATCAAGATCAACAAGAAGGAGCGGCTGCTCGCTGTGGGAACGGCTCTGCAGAACGCGGCGACCGCGAATGGCGGCGCGAGCTTCATCGTGATCGAGGACGTGCACGACAAGGTCGCGGCGCCTAAGACTAAGGACTTCGTCGCGGCGCTTGCGCGGTGGGGCGTGGATTACAAGAAGGACCACGCGCTGCTGCTTACGGCCGAAGCTTCGGAGAACCTGCTGCTGTCGACGCGGAACATCGAGAATCTGAAGGTGGTGACGCCGAACGCGCTGAACATCTACGACGTGCTGCGCGCCGATAAGCTGCTGGTGACGGAGTCCGGGCTTGAGTACCTCAACCAACGGTTCGGCGATGACATTCTGTTTGTAGATGGCGAGGAGGACGACGAGGAGGGAGAGGAGGAGGCGTCGGATGCTTGAATGCGTGCAGGTGCTCCAGGGATGGGTTGAGGAGAACGGTCGTAACAGGTTTTGCAGGGTTGATATGGCTGGATTGGATAGTGAAGCAGAAAGGTGGATTCGGTCGGGGAAGGAGGTTGGTGGGTGAGGGGTCGCCGGGATGTTGCGGGGTAAGGCAGGGGAAGCATTCAGAGGCAGTTTGTTCGTGTTATCTAGCCTACGGTAAGCTTCTGCTGCTGCAGCCACATCTTACGTTCTTCCTGAGGCACCTCTGCCTGTGTCCCGTAGCTTAATGTGTACAAGCAGTTTTAAATTACCATACAGAAAAAATCCAACCAATAACTCACTTAACGTGTTCCAAGATGTCTGCATTCCCTCCTGCGACAAACTTATTTCACCTTTCCGTCATCCCCCATCCCCCTTTCTCCTCCTCATTCTCCCTCTATCATGTCATGGGTCATTCTACACACACACACACACACACACACACACACACACACTCACACACACATTCACTCTCACACTCACACATGCTCGCACGCACGCACACACACACTCATTGCTATCCCTGACACCTCTCTCCTCCCTCTCAATACGTCTTCCCCTCTTCCCCTCTGTCTCCTGCCTACCCCTCCTCTCTTCCCCTCTCTGTCTCCTGCCTCCCCCTCCCTTCTCCACTCCTCGGACCTCCATCCCCTCTCCCCTCCATGCATGAATTCTCTAGTCATTTTTTTCCCTAGCCCCCATCCCCTCCTTCCCTGAGTTCCCCTCGCTTTCCTGCCAACCTTTTCCCTCCTGCCTCCACCTCGCATCGCATCCCCCTTTCCTACCCGCATGCCCTCTGGCAAGCTACGTCCCTCTCATTCATTGCCTTGCATTTCCCCCTTCCATTCTCCTGCAAGACATGCATGTTGATCACTATGGCATCATAAGTGTCACACACACCTGACAGATCGATTTTTAAGGTTAGAGTCTTAGCAGAGCCACCACCTGGAACTCAATTTGCAAGAACCATGCATGCACTCAATTGCCATTGTGGCTAAATAGGAGCGATTTATGAGTAAACAAACTGCACTACCAGAATTCGGTTACCGAAATCCACCAAAACAGCGCGCTCCACGCCTTCTGGTCATTCGACTCCACGCCTTCGCCATTCACGCCTGCCAGGTGGTATGGCCAGGTTTGATGCCACGCATCGCATCGCATGACTGGTTTGTACCTTGAAAATTACGGCAACGAGGACAGCCAGGCGAAGCCGCCGCCGGGGAGCCGCTGCGCAAAGTGCGGATGGTGCTGCCGACGGACTCACTGATGAGGCTCCGTGCATGCGCTCACTTCCAGAGCTCATTGTTTCTAGCTGACTCGAAAATGGACATCCCATGCGTGCGCTCCTTATCGGGGCTCTCCGCTGGTAAACGCCATGCAGTGCGTGCACCCAGGCCGCAGCGTCGGACAGGGATAGTGAAGCGTGTGCACATTGCTAATTGCCGGAACACACGGCCGCAGGAGGCATCTGCGAGCAATCAGCATAGTCACCTGTCCTCGAGGCGTGAAGCCTGGGCATCTGTGGAGTTTGTTTTCAAGTGCTACAATCCGCCAGTGGTACGTCTGTGCAGTAGTCGCGCGCAGGGGGGTGTGTGGTGACCCGTGAATGCCTCACTGAGGCACCAGGAGCACGAGATCTGGCAGCCATCAGATTGCAGAAAACCCGGCACCCACAGCAGGAGGTTAAGCATCAGGGGAACCCGCCAGCCGCCATGGCTGCTTCGTCCACCACCAGCGCGACAGTGGCTCTTCGCAGCAAGGGCAACGCCTTCTACGCCAGTGCTTTCACCCACGGCGTGGACCCGCTTTTCAAGCGCAGCCGCCTCAACATCGCCCTCTCCAAGTACCGCGAGGCGCTGCGCCGCCACGTGGTAGAATCTCAGCCGTCCGCGGATGAGCTGTCTTCGCTGTGGAAGAACATCGCCACGGTTTCATCCGCCCTGGCGGCTTTGGAGATAAGGCCCCCAACATAGGTTCGCACAGTTCTCTCTTCTTTGTCTTCCTTGAGTGTCCGTTTCAGCCTCTTTTATTTTTGATTTCCTGATTGGAGGGATTCACTTTATCTTGACCTTTCACACTTATTTCTTCGTGCCCATGTATGCACCATCTTCATTCCTGGCTGAAAAGCACGAGTGTTACGAATGAGGTAATAAGTAGACTTCTAAGAGACTGGAAAGCTGCTGCTGTCCACCCCTCCCCACACCCGCACTGACAGTTGATTGGACAGCAACCTCCACACGCCACATGGAGGCCTTTGCAGCCTTCCACGTGGCATTCTCTCAGTTCCTCCTGGACAAGGGCCAATCGCTGCTCACCATCAACCTCTCCCGCTGCTCGCACTACCGCCAGCCAACCTCTCATGCGGGAATCAAGGCGGGGATCAAGGCGGGGGTTAACGGTATCAATCTGGGAGCAGGGGGGAAGGGGTCGGCACGGCTTGTGGTGCAGAGGGAGAGTGCGCGGTGCTTTGCTGAGTGCGAGCGGCCACTCCGCCTGCTGGACAATGCTCTCATGACTCTTGAGAGAAATGTGGGTGAGTGAGTGGTGGTGATGGGAGAAAGTTCAACGAATTGTTTGGCAAATGTTCGGTCACTCTTTGGTGAAGGTTCAGTACAGGTGAGTGGATCTGTTTACTGTGGCTCCTTGTCATTGCTTGTCAACTTGAAGCTTCGACTCCGATGCCTCGTCTGATGGTTTCTCGTGTGTGCAGGCAGGTCGTGTGGTAACCAGTCGGTAACACAAGCCACCCTCTCTGCCCTGCGCATTCAAGCCAAGGAATTGCAAACCTCCCGCTTCACCTGCAGCTGTCTGTGTGATTCGGTCGAAACTCTTACCCGCGCGATTGGCAACAGCAACAGCAACAGCAGATGGGGGCAGCACGAATGGCGGAAGTCCGGACGGCAGTGCTGCTGATGTGGCGCTGCTGTGGGCGGCAGTGGACGGGTTCAAGAAGGCGGTGGTGCTGACGAGAGAGCGCCACGTGGACATGGAGGCGTATGCGCTGAGCTGGCTGGGGCATGTGTATGACGTGGCACTGCAGATGGACAACATTGGTCATCGTTACCACCAACGGGCTGTGCAGGTATATTTTCTGACACAGTTGGGTGGCTGCACATATGTGGTTGGCGAGAATTGAGCTGCCTCGAAACCAGTACCTTTCCTGTAATGCAGGTGGGTAACTAGTGCAGGTGGGTAACTGGTGCAGGTGGGTAACTGGTGCAGGTGGGTAACTACAGTGGCGCTCACCTGGTCCACCCTTTCACTGCATGCCATACACCGGCTCCAAGTCTATGTTTCTCACATGGCCCTCGCCATTCCACTTCCCCCTTCCCCACCCCACTCCTCCACAGCTCGTGCTCTCTGCAGTGCAATCTCATTTCTCCGTCGCTCTGTGCCACCAGGCCCGTGCATTTCAGTTTCCCCTCTGCCCTTCCACATCCCCCTCCACCCTCCACAGCTTGTGCTCTCCGCAGTACAATCCCACCCCAAGCTCGCTCTCTCCACCTGGTACTCTGCCTCGGTGCGAGCCATCAACCGCCACCAGGCCAAGGTGCGGCGGCAGGAGGAGCGGCGGCGCGAGCAGGAGCGCGAACCCCTGCTGGCAAAGATGAAACCGGAGCTCGAAACCCTCTCAAAGATGAACGAGAGCGGGTGGAAGCAGCTTCTCACTCACGTGTACAGCAAATATCTGCCCAAGAATGAGAATCACAAGTGCCCATCGTTGAATGTGGACGATGCGAAGGCGTCGCTGCGAACTGCCATTCTGCATTACCATCCGGATAAGAACAGCGAGCATGGCGACAGGTGGAAGATTCTGTGTGAGGAGATCACCAAGTGTCTCAACGCCAAATATCTCAGCTTCAAGTAGGGCAAGTTGTTATGCAAGTATGCAAGTTCACCTACACCTTCACCTGCACACTATGCAAGTTGCTTGGGCTCACTCGATTGTATCGGGCAGGGCAAGAGGATTTTGATTTGAATGAGAAAGCTTGAATCAGCTGCTCAGTGATGAGTTTCGGGGTCCTAGTTTGAAAAGCGGTAGGCTTCATTCCGTGGAGCTGGTTGCGCTGCGCGTGATCTGCCATTTATGCTGGAAATTCTGTGTGCGATGTGCGTACAACATTGCAAACAGTGATTAGATGTGCCTCACCAGACACGACTCGGCAATTTGCTTTCAGCAGCACATTGATGAGCAAATCCACTGGGAGGACAGGAACACTGGGAGGGTCATATCAGACAACCCAACTAGATGGTTCCATGTCCAAACCAAACATCACAATTGAACTCAAATAACCAAGACATGTGCATTCAGTGTTTCACAAATCAGCAGCCCAGCCATCAACGCCATCAGATCTGGACTTTCGGAAGCAACTCGGGTCAAACAAGCCATGCCATCTAGATTCTTCACTGCTGCCATTCCTCCTTCCTGCTCCAACTGCCCAGCCTTCTCCAGCACCATTCCCTAATCGGACAGATATATTCAGATTCTCAACTTGAAGCCAGGTGGGGGGCTTAGTCAGAGGAGAGGACGTTGAGGTACTGCTCCCACCCATCTGTCTCCAGCTGCCCAGCCTTCTCCAGCACCATGCCCTCTAGATCCTTCTGGTATGCCACCATGCTGTGAGCAAGGGAGTGGAAAGGAGTGGAGAGGAGTGGAGAGAAGTGGAGGGGAGAGGAAGGGAAGTAGGGGTTACGGAGAGAGAGAGACGGTGAGCACAAGGGGGTGGCCCTCCAGCACCATGCCCTCCTGGTCCTTCTGGTATGCCACCATGCTGTGAAAAAGGGAGGAGTGGAGAGGAGTGCAAGGGAGTGGAGAGGAGTGGAAGAGAAGTAGGGGTTACGGAGAGAAAGAGATGGTACAAGGGGCTTGCGCTGCCTTCTCAGCACCGTGCCCTATAGGTCCTTCTATTGGCACGTTACAGGGTGGGGGGATTGAGTGGAGGGAGGGTAGGGGAAAGCACCAACTTGTGAGGCACGTCACAACACGCCTTGACACACCTGGACACACCTAGAGACACCTGGATACCACTTCACACTTGAAAGCATGCACTTGTGCGCGATGAGAAGTATATCTCATACCGGTCCAAGAGCTCGCTGGCAGGATCAGATCCTCCCAGCATGCGCACGGCCAGCAGAGCAGCATTGACTGCGTTGTGACCTTTGATGAGTCGAGTCAGAAGTCAGATCGAACTATCAACTCGTACCGGTCCAAGAGGGCGGGATCAGATGCTCCTAACATGCGCACGGCCAGCAGTGCGGCGTTGACCGAGTTGTTGATCGCCACTGTGGCCACTGGAATGCCACGTGGCATCTGGTGATTGGGCGAAAGAGATGGAGAAAGAAGGGGGAGAGCGGAGCGTTAGCGGTGGTGGGTAAAGCAGACAACAGTGGTTCAATCATGGGTTGACATGACAAAAGGAGTTGAACCGAGACCACTGCAGTTTCCTTTCAGATAACTTCCCCCAAGATTCACCTGCACAATAGAGAGGAGCAAATCCATGCCGTCGAGAGCCGAGCCCTTGACTGGCACACCTGTCACTGGAAAATACATCCAAGAAACTATACACTGCACATCACCTTTGGAATCACCTAGGGACTCACCTGCACGATGGAAAGGAGCGAGTCCATGCCACCAAGAGCAGAGCCCTTGACTGGCACTCCTATCACTGGGAGAGGTGACATTGATGCCACCATGCCTGGTGGTGGTCAGTGGGGGGGGGAGTGAGGTGAAGGGGTTTACACTAGTCAAAAGCAGGCCTCATCTTGAGCCCTTGACTGGCACTCCTATCACTCTGAGATGTGACATTGACGCCACCATGCCTGGTGGTCGGTGGAGGGAGGGGAGAGGGAGGAGGGGAATGGGCACGCAGTAGCGGGAGAAGATGTGTTGGTTTTTGAGGCGCCTTAAGAATGTGTAGACACAGGGGAAGGGGGGGAAGGCGCCTTAAGAGCGTGTATTGAGGTTATTGGGGGAGAAGATACTATTCTTGTTCCAGATACAAGGGCTGATCAATGCAAAAGAATTGTCAGGTGGCATAGCGCGTTAGAGCAGTGTACAGGAGAAAGGACAACGCAAGGAGGAGAGAGAAGGGGGGCGAGAGGAAGGAGTGTCTGCGAGCGGAACGAGGGGCAGGGAGGAGGGAAATAGATGCCAGATTGCCGCTGCTCTGTTGTAATCACCTGGCAGGTGGGCGGCACCGCCAGCGCCAGCAATGATGACTCGAATGCCCCGTGTGTGTGCCGACTGCGCGAATGAGAACATGCGGTCCGGCGTGCGATGGGCTGACACTATGGTCAGCTGGTAGGGGAGCATCAGGGGACGGTAAGGTGAAGGGGGGAAGAGCAAGCGGGGAAGGGTATGAGGTGGGAAGGGTATGAGGTGGGAAGGGTATGAGGTGGGAAGGGTATGAGGTGGGAAGGGTATGAGGTGGGAAGGGTATGAGGTGGGAAGGGTATGAGGTGGGAAGGGTATGAGGTGGGAAGGGTATGAGGTGGGAAGGGTATGAGGTGGGAAGGGTATGAGGTGGGAAGGGTATGAGGTGGGAAGGGTATGAGGTGGGAAGGGTATGAGGTGGGAAGGGTATGAGGTGGGAAGGGTATGAGGTGGGAAGGGTATGAGGTGGGAAGGGTATGAGGTGGGAAGGGTATGAGGTGGGAAGGGTATGAGGTGGGAAGGGTATGAGGTGGGAAGGGTATGAGGTGGGAAGGGTATGAGGTGGGAAGGGTATGAGGTGGGAAGGGTATGAGGTGGGAAGGGTATGAGGTGGGAAGGGTATGAGGTGGGAAGGGTATGAGGTGGGAAGGGTATGAGGTGGGAAGGGTATGAGGTGGGAAGGGTATGAGGTGGGAAGGGTATGAGGTGGGAAGGGTATGAGGTGGGAAGGGTATGAGGTGGGAAGGGTATGAGGTGGGAAGGGTATGAGGTGGGAAGGGTATGAGGTGGGAAGGGTATGAGGTGGGAAGGGTATGAGGTGGGAAGGGTATGAGGTGGGAAGGGTATGAGGTGGGAAGGGTATGAGGTGGGAAGGGTATGAGGTGGGAAGGGTATGAGGTGGGAAGGGTATGAGGTGGGAAGGGTATGAGGTGGGAAGGGTATGAGGTGGGAAGGGTATGAGGTGGGAAGGGTATGAGGTGGGAAGGGTATGAGGTGGGAAGGGTATGAGGTGGGAAGGGTATGAGGTGGGAAGGGTATGAGGTGGGAAGGGTATGAGGTGGGAAGGGTATGAGGTGGGAAGGGTATGAGGTGGGAAGGGTATGAGGTGGGAAGGGTATGAGGTGGGAAGGGTATGAGGTGGGAAGGGTATGAGGTGGGAAGGGTATGAGGTGGGAAGGGTATGAGGTGGGAAGGGTATGAGGTGGGAAGGGTATGAGGTGGGAAGGGTATGAGGTGGGAAGGGTATGAGGTGGGAAGGGTATGAGGTGGGAAGGGTATGAGGTGGGAAGGGTATGAGGTGGGAAGGGTATGAGGTGGGAAGGGTATGAGGTGGGAAGGGAGAGTGGGCAGGAGCAGAGGGAGTATTGGTCGAAATAAAAGAGAACATGCGGTCGGGCGCGCGAGCAGACACGATGGTTAGCTGGTAGGGGTGAGTGGGAAGGGGATGATGAGGTGGGAAGGGGATGAGGTGGGAAGGGGATGAGGTGGGAAGTGAGGGGGGGGTAAGAGTGGCGGAAGAAACGGAGAACATGCGGCTGGGCGTGCGATGAGTTGACACTATGGTTGCTCATGCACACAGTGCACCGCTCGCCTTGCATTTTGGAATTTCTCACAAGTGGTCGCCTTGCACTGCTCATGGCTCACCTCGGAAGACACTTGAAAGAAATCGGAGGATTTGAGCCGCGCCCTTCATGACTGGTAGGTCCAAGACAACAGCTGAGCCATTTCTCATTGCAACCGTGTGCACCGCTCTTTCTCATACCGCTCACCACCGCTCACCACAGCTCACCTCACACCGCTCAACTCAAAGGGCACTTGGTTGGAAGGACTCTGGGATCCGAGCCGCACACGGCCTTCATGACCGGTAAGTCCTTGCCCGTTTACCGGCTCCAACCATTGCTCATTGCAACCGTGCACCGCTCTTCCCACACCTCTCACCACAGCTCACCTCACAGTACTCACCTCACGGCACTCACCACAAAGGGCACTTGGAAGAAATCGAGGATCTGAGCCGCCCCCTTCATGACAGGCAGGTCCGAGTCACTGCCCATTATAATCGCTACCTGTGGGGCTGCAACGTGTTCGGCGCAAGTGGGTACAAGGGTGTGAGGGGTGCGCAAGTGGGTACAAGGGGTGAGGGGTGCGCAAGTGGGTACAAGGGGGTGAGGGGTGCGCAAGTGGGTACAAGGGGGGGTGAGGGGTGCGCAAGTGGGTACAAGGGGGTGAGGGGTGCGCAAGTGGGTACAAGGGGGTGAGGGGTGCGCAAGTGGGTACAAGGGGGTGGGGGGTGCGCAAGTGGGTACAGGGGGTGTGAGGGGTGCGCAAGTGGGTACAAGGGGGTGAGGGGTGCGCAAGTGGGTACAAGGGGGTGAGGGGTGCGCAAGTGGGTACAAGGGGGTGAGGGGTGCGCAAGTGGGTACAAGGGGGGTGAGGGGTGCGCAAGTGGGTACAAGGGGTGAGGGGTGCGCAAGTGGGTACAAAGGGGTGAGGGGTGCGCAAGTGGGTACAAGGGGGTGGGTGTGCGCAAGTGGGTACAAGGGGGGGTGAGGGGTGCGCAAGTGGGTACAAGGGGGTGGGGGTGAGGGGGGCGCGCAGTGGGTACAAGGGGGTGAGGGGGTGCGCAAGTGGGTACAAGGGGGTGAGGGGTGGCGCAAGTGGGGTACAAGGGGGTGAGGGGTGCGCAAGTGGGTACAAGGGGGTGTGAGGGGTGCGCA